AAGCTAGGGGGGGATTCAAAATGGTGTCATCATGCAGTTTGTCCAGCAGAGGGCTCTGACTTGGGCACATTTTAAAGCACAGAACAGCTGAACAGACCATGTTAAAAAGGTAAAACGATGTTTCAGTAAAACTACAAAAGTCAAGGTTTTGTTATGCAGCTTGTTAATGAGACTTTAGTTATTAGATGAGAGAGAAACCTACAGCTGTGTATCATCTGCATATAATGATAGCTTCTAACCTGTTTCCTTATTATTTCACCAAGCAAGCAAAATAAAAACACTAGTGGTCTAAGGATGGATCCCAGGGGAACTCCATGTCAGATGGAAACAGAAGTTCAAAACATAATTAGAAAATGAGTTTAAACAAATTAACATCATGACATAATTTTACATATTTTAAGTATATTTAAAGAATGCAGCCCTCTGAAGACCTCACCAGAGTCACATCAGACCGACACCCATAAAGGTCTTTGTTTCATGAAAGTAAAGTTTATTATTGCATTGGCTGTCATATTGGTGTAAGGATGGCTGTAGTTCAGACCGCATTACCCACAGGTGTGTAACCTGGAGCTGCTCGTTGCAGGTCTCTGTCGGCTGTTGAGAGGAGGGTGGCAGGATGAGTGGGGCAGCTCTGGGTATCGAGATCGTGGTGGTGTTCTTCCTCGCTCTGTTCCTGCTGCACCGGTATGGAGACTTCAAGAAGCAGCAGCGCATGGTGCTGTTCGGCACGCTGCTGGCCTGGTACCTGTGCTTCCTCATCGTCTTCATTTTACCCCTGGACGTCAGCACGGTCAGTGCAAGGTCGAGTCTAAACGTCTCATTCATGAATGTGGACACAAACCTGAACTGTGTGTGTGTGTGTGTGTGTGTGTGTGTGTGTGTGTGTGTGTGTGTGTGTGTGTGTGTGTGTGTGTGTGTGTGTGTGTGTGTGTGTGTGTGTGTGTGTGTGTGTGTGTGTGTGTGTGTGTGTGTGTGTGTGTGTGTGTGTGTGTCTGCTCCTCACAGACCATCTATAAGCAGTGTAAGATAGACCATGAAGGCCACACTGACAATCACACAGCAGCTAACACATCTGCCACGCCCACTAAACGGTGAGTATACTACAGTGACTCGTTAAAAGTTTAAGGTGAAGTTTAAAGAACTCAAACCTTTAAGATCGTAGAAGTCCATCCTTCTCTCTCTTTAATCAAACATGGCGTCTGGAATGTGCATCATTATAAGGGAATGAAGAAGAAACCTGAGAACTAGAACATCTCAGCAAGTTGACAGACTTTATTTTACCGCTTGTCTTTTACAGCGAGTTGCTGTAAGTGAACTTCTCGTACAGGGATCCATAAATCTTATGTTACGTGACCCTGTGGAGACATTAAATCAACATTTCTCAGACTTCCTTTATGATTAAGTAAATGTTGAAATGTGCGTGCGTGCGTGCGTGCGTGCTTGCGTGCGTGCGCGTGACAGTGTGTGGAGCTCCAGCTGTGCCCATGTGACCTCACAGACGGTGACGCAATTATTACTCTGTCAATCAATATGAACGCACAAAGACGTGATGGCGGCGGAGCTTAGTTAAGGAAACGCAGTCTGAAAAGTTTGACTTCTGTTTGACTTCTTCTCTCCAACAGTGCACCAACAGTGTGCTACAAGCCGTGGAGCTACATCCCTGATGGCATCATGCCCGTGTTCTGGAGGGTGGTGTACTGGACGTCTCAGTGCCTCACATGGTCCGTATGAGTCCACATCTCTTCTTCAGAACGCAGCCCCTCTCTGATGCTCTCTAAATGTGTTTCAGGCTGCTGCTGCCCTTCATGCAGTCGTATGCTCGCTCAGGAGGCTTCTCCATCACCGGGAAGATCAAAACTGCCCTGATAGAGAACGCCATTTATTACGGGACCTACCTGCTCATCTTCGGCTCTCTGCTCATATACGTGGCTGTTCATCCTAAGTGGAACCTCTCCTGGTGAGTGTGCTGACTGGAGGTCACACATGACCTTCTCCCTGATATCTCACTGAGTTCATGTTGAAGCATGTAAACTCAGCCATTGAATTGTAATCGGATTTCGGGTTCTGCACATGCTTGAGAATTTCCGCCGGGGCTTTCACCTGGAAGTGGAAAGAGACGACTTAATAAATAGTAGTGTTGTTGCTGGAAACGGTGTCCGTTTGCTGTTATCGCTGCAGCCAAAAGATCTGTTGTTCTTCTAATATGAATTATTAGAATGTAAATAATGCACGTAGCTGTAGCGTCGTCCATCTTCTCGTACGCCATCTTTGTTTGAATGCCGCCAGATATTTTGTTGTTGCTGTAACATTTAGGTCAACAGGAAGTGGCTCTATAACCACGTGTTGAAAGGGGTACAGCGCCACATAGCGTAGCGGAGTCAACCAATGCTCCGGCCATTTATACGATTCTCTGATTGGCATTTATACTCAGACAAGTGACAGCTGTCACAAAAACACGACTCCAGTTTGTGACCACAGAGCGTTCAGTCGAGAGGAAACACGTCCATCATGTCCTCCTTTGTGTTCCAGGTACGAGCTCCAGACCATCGGGATCACAGCAGCTAACACCTGGGGCCTGTTCCTCCTGGTGCTGCTGCTTGGGTATGGTTTGGTGGAAATCCCTCGCTCGTACTGGAATGCTTCTCGTCACGGTCACTTACTTATCAAGACGTACTTCAAGGCGTCCAAGCTGATGACGGAGAAAGCAGACGCAGAGGAGAACCTGGAGGACGTGATGGAGGTGGGAGTCAGGGCGGTGGATGTGATGTATGAGGGTCAGCTCTGTGTTTTTTACTCTGACGTTTGGTTTGTTGCAGGAGGTGAGAAAGGTGAGTGAATCCATCAAGTATAACCATCCGCTGAGGAAGTACATCGACACCATCCTCAGAAAGGTAAGAGGAGGAGAAGCAGCAGATAACCACAACCAATCACTGTGATGTGATTTATGATCTGATGGATCTAACTCCACCCCTCAGTGCCCCGTGGATTACCAGGAGAAGATGGGCAGGAACATGGACGACTACGAGGACTTTGATGACAAACAGAACACCTATCCGAGTGAGAAGAGTCTGGTGAAGCTCCATAAACAGGTGAGAGGTGCCTTCATTACAGCGTAGTATAAATCATGTGCATGGCACTTCCTGTTTGCAGGACTGCATCCAAAGAAGTCGAGGTTGCAGTGAAAGTTGCTCTTGCTCTGATAAAGCCGATTACAGAACTTTGAAGTGGGTTAAGACTCCAGCTGCTGCATTTTAAACCAACTGCACTCGAGGAAAATAAAATGTCAGAAACAGGATTAAATAGATTACAGCAGAGTCAAGCCGGACTCCCAGGCTTCGAGCTCGGTGTTACACTCTCAGATTGAAGAAGTTAATCAGGTTCAGGAAGAATTATGGGACCTCTGAGTGTTTGTTATTTAGCTGGAAACAAGATGCACGACATAGAAAACAGGTGGATCTAAAACTGAGCCTTGTGGGGCACCACAGGTGATCTGGGCAGTGCAGGATTAAGGATAGCGGACAGACTCACCAGTAGAGGGCGCTGTATGGTGGGTTTGAACCTGAGGAGGGCAGCTCGCTTTGTTCAGCCCGGTGTTTATCAGGCATCAGCAGGCTTTGGTGTGGAGGGCAAAGGAGGCGGGGCTAAATCTGTCGATATGACATCACAGCTAATAAGGAAGTCTGAGCTGGAAGTTATTCACAGCTAACAGCTGGCGACACCAGAATATCTGAAGGTTGACCTTTGTCTCCAGAGGCTGGATCTTCTTCAGATGATTGACCACGGAGCAACCAGCAGAAGGTTATCCAGGTTTAAAACAGAATTTAATGCAGAGTCAATCAGAACTGTGATCAACAGCTGACACAAATACAGAACACTTAGCTACTCTCAGGAAAGCATTTAATGACCTCGTTGGGATCTGGATACAGACTGGAAGATCTACACTTTGATGTGTTTATGTACCGTGTGTTCAGGTGATCTACGCGGTTCAGAGACACAACAGGACTCGGGTCCAGTGGGAGATCCTCCTGCAGCAGGCCATCCATCTGGAGGACGTCGCCAAGAACGAGACTAGCTCCACCCACCAGTTTGTCCACAGCTTCCCGTCGTCTGAGCCAGCCAGCTGGTTCAGCAGATACGTTTACACGCCGACTGTAGGTGTGTGTGAGCCCAGAGCCAATAAGACATCTGAACCAGAACACAATACAGCCGATGATCCAAACTCTAAAATGTTGTGAAAAAATACTTAACGTGTGTGTGTGTGTGTGTGTGTGTGTGTGTGTGTGTGTGTGTGTGTGTGTGTGTGTGTGTGTGTGTGTGTGTGTGTGTGTGTGTGTGTGTGTGTGTGTGTGTGTGTGTGTGTGTGTGTGTGTGTGTGTGTGTGTGTGTGTGTGTGTACAGAATGGTACTGGGAGTGTCTCCTGAAGACCTGGTTTTACCGGCTGCTGTCCGTGGTCCTGACTCTGTTCAGCGTGGCGGTGGTTTGGTCTGAATGCACCTTCTTCAGCACCCGGCCCGTCCTCTCTCTGTTCGCTGTGTTCATCCAGCTGGCTGAACGAGACTACAACTACCTGTACATCGAGGTGAGACACACACACACACACACACACACACACACACACACACACACACACACACACACACACTCAGGGTATATCTGTTCCAGTTTATCTGACTGGTTTGTGATGACCCTTTTCTCCACCAGATGGCGTGCTTTGTCACTATCTTCTTCCTGTGTACCTGTGTGTACTCCACTGTGTTCCGCATCCGTGTTTTTAACTACTACTACCTGGCCTCCCATCACCAGACCGACGCTTACAGCCTCCAGTTCAGTGGCATGTGAGTCAACACCTTTTGATTATTTTATTAACACCTAAAGGAGCAGTATGTAACTCTGACCCCTAGTGTTTAAAATGGGTACTGCAGTCTAAATTCTAAACATCATAGAGAGCTGTCTCCCCCTGCCCCCTTCTCTCTGAAGTCCATGCTCACGCAGGTTGCCATGTGGTGGACACTGAAGCTTCAGTGCTTAGCCAGCTCTGCATCGGTCTGTAAACCTTTCTGCGTTCTAACTTGGGTTTGTGCATGTGTACATGTGTAAACGGTTAGTAAATCATTACCGTTTAGGAAAAATCAGTAATCGTTTTTATTTTATTTGAATTTTTTTATTATTTTAAAATGTTTTAGAGACACGCATTCAATCATCTCTGATGTAAAATAACACATACTATTTATTTAGAGATGAATAAAGCTATAAATGTTCCACTTTGACAACTTTACTGCACTCACAAATGCACGTGATAAATGTTGGATAACTGACCACCGGGCATTACGTCACGTAACAAGTAAGTTTCACTTTTGACTTGCGATGGCAGCCAAGACTACTCAGCAAAGTGCGGCGTGGAGGAGCCGCACTCCTGGGGATTGACTCTGGTTCCGGGACATGCCTGTGCGGGTTCTGGCTTTCCATGTCCGGTAACCGGTTGAACGTAAGTCTGTGAGCCTCTCTCACCCCCCCTCTTTGGAGGGGGTATTGAGCCACACTCCTTTCCCTTTTCTGCCCTTCCGCCCTATTCCGCTTCGTCCGGGTAAGGGGGATTGCGCAGTCCCGAGGGTCAGGCCCATTCGACTACGACCTCAGATCAGACGAGACAACCTGCTGAATTTAAGCATATTACTAAGCGGAGGAAAAGAAACTAATGCAGAAATCCTTTGTTTCTTGTCCTTTTAAAAAATAGAGATTTCATACTCATCATGGTAGTTGTTTTATCATAGCCTTGTTATAGGCCTATATAGGCCTCAAATAAATACATACAGGTATTTGTTTTTACAAATTCTATGGCAAGTTTTCTGTGTTACTTATATAGCCTACTTTCTAAAGCACAATTGTATCTGTCTGACAACTTTGAGTGGCGGCAGTGATGCGGAGGAATCTTTCTGAAAAGCGGCCGCACCCTCCATTGGTTGTATAGCGTGATTGCGGTCCACTTTTTTTTTTTTTATTAATAAAAAAAAACAAACGGTTAACCGTGTACACGGAACAAATGACGTCGTGTAACCGTTTACAATTTTTTGTAACCGTTCACACCCCAGTTCTAACCTCTCCATTTTTCAAAAGCATCTCCAATATTGATCCTAGTTTGAGCACGTTTCTGCTCGTGGAGCTTATTAGAAACATGCAGAGGCTTTTTAGGTACAATCACTTCTATCTGAACCAGTTCTCTTGCCCGCTTCCATCACTGCAACACCTGTTGGTTTGTTCTGATAACTGCTCTCATATCTGACAAAATGAGGGGCTTCCAAAACGGCCGTGTGGGGGTGCATTAAAACTGCCTGTCCGGGCTGGCTGGTGCATAAAGTTGATGAAGGGTGTTTGATGCAGACTGTGACCTTTGACCTGCAGGCTGTTCTGCCGTCTGACGCCTCCTCTGTGTCTGAACTTCCTGGGTTTGATCCACATGGACTCTGCCATCTCCCACCAGCAGAAGGAGCAGACTGCGTACACCTCCGTAAGTCGTCCCCACGGGTTTTGAACTTCACGTTCTCGGTTAGTTTCATGATGGATAGAATCAGAGAGTGACGAAGCTTTGTGTGCCATATTTGAACCAAAAATATAAAAGACCTTATATTGATGTTTTTGTTGCCTGGGGTTTCAAACTAGAATCATATCAAAGTTTAAGTTCTGTTACCATGGCGACTCCACCTGCAGGAAGCGAAAACACACCTGACCTCTCGTGTGTTTCTCTGCAGATCATGGGATCCATGCGCGTCCTCTCTTTCATCGCTAACGGCTTCTACATCTACTACCCCATGCTGATCGTCATCCTCTGCATCGCCACGTACTTCAGGTCAGTCTGGGGGGGGGGCGGTGCTGCAGTGTGGATCTATCAGCCTACATATGAAGGAGTCTGTAAAACCACGTGCAGAGGGAGATATGGTTGTGCACGCGTTGACGTCAGACGATGTAACTCAATGTCATCCTGGATTATGAGCATCTCGCTTTTAGAACTTCTGACGCTGTTCACCTATTGTCTTAGATTAAGGACTCTTTTTATATAAACAGCATGCCAGGTTTATTTAGTGAACATTAGATCGCCGTTTACCCGCCAGATAACGTTGGGTCTGCACTAGAGAGCGAGCTGCTCATAACATCTGAACTCTCGGTGTTTATTATACTCATCGTCATCAAATAGAACTCTCAACGCCTCCAACAGAAACCAGGGTCCCTGACCAGGGTCAGGTCAGGGTCTATGACCAGAGGAGAGCCGGTCATCAGAGTACAAAATGTTTATCGCTGCGATAATCATGAAACCTAAAACTAATGAGCCAAACATGTGAAGGTCACACTGTGAGACTTTGAGACAAGTCTCTGTTGTCGTGATGCTGCGTGCTGTGAACCGAGGCTTCTCATTGGTCAATAAAAGCTGTGGGTCAGTTGGTAGAGTCATCGCCTCTCAACCGGAAGGTCGAGGGTTCGATCCCCAGCTGAGCAACAAGACACTTAACCCTGCTGCTTCAGTGGCGGTGTATGAATGGATAACTGTTGTACTTACTCTCTGATGTACGTCGCTTTGGATAAAAGCGTCTGCTGAGTGAATTGTAACATTGTAAAAGCTCTTTGATATACAGTCTGATGTTATTTCTCTGAATGTGGAGTCAGCCGAGCAGGTGCTAATGAAGTGTCTCCTCAGCCTTGGGACTCGCTGCCTCAACCTCCTAGGCTTCCAGCAGTTTGTGGGTGACAGTGAGATGACCTCTGACCTTATCGACGAGGGCAAGGAGCTGATCCGACGAGGTAACGACAGAACAATAGAAATGGTGCTGTCTTTAAACGATGCAGGTTAAACTAATCATCAGCGATGTCTTTACAGAGAAAAGGAAACGGCAAAGGGTAGAAGACGGAGAGAACAGACGCAGAGTGAGTAACCAATCAAATCACTCCTCCAGACCACTGCTCACTTCACATTTGTCTGTTTTTAACCACATTACGAGGACCGCTGGGGGCCCCTCATGGTTAGTTTGCACGCCTCATGTACAGAGGCTGATCACGTCACTCCACACGCTCTTTCTCACTCTGATTTCTGTGTGTGTGTGTGTGCGTGTGTGTGTGTGTGTGTGTGTGTGTGTGTGTGTGTTCTGCAGGAATGGAAGGAGCGTTACGGAAACTCGAGGGATGACTACACGGCGAGGAACAGGAGCAGCCATGAGATGAAGGAGACCAGTTACTCAGACACCGTGACGCCCAGAGACAACAGACGTAAGTGCTCCCCTCTGTGGAGATTCTAAAAGACTCCCGCTGACCGATGATAACCAGCTGCTGTGGTGTGTTGAACAGAAGCTAAATACTCTCGCTCTGGAGGCCGGGCGGAGAGGGACTGCATGGAGCTGCTGCAGGACGCTGAACCTTTAGACTTCAACGCTGAGTCTCTGACAGATGACGCTCTGGACTCAGAGTCTGGGAGGTAAACACGGCACACTTTGATTCCTAAGGAAATGTGACTGATGATCCATGTAGCCCAATACTCCACGATTCATTGGTCAGAGTCTCAGTCGACTGCCAGATGAGCACAGGGACCGTTCCATTCCAGCTCTGTGGGGGTGTTTAATGTCTAATGTTACGTAGAGTTGTCTGTTTGAAATCCTTCATTGCTCATTGTAGAGACAAAATCATTTATCCTTATCCAGTGGTTATGGACTTATTTTATCTCAGATATTCACCCATATTTTCAGATGTGTTCACCAGTCAAACACTAGCAGTTCTCTGTCACCAGCAGAGGGCGCTATTGGATTACAACATTCATCATCACTCTGCAGAGAGTCAGGCTCGTACACGCTCATGAGTGTCTTCATTAAATATCTTTTCCTCAAGTGTTTGATAACTGAGGGATCAACACGATAAATGTTTCTATCTCTCTCTACAGTTTGATGATGAATCAAGTCCTATCATAGAATAAATAGTTATTCCAACATTAGAAGACAAAGAGATTAACCATGTGGATAAACTAAAATAAATCTGTGGATCAATGAGCACAAAAAAAACCAAACGTTTGACTGTCAGTCGACGATGGGCAAAAACCAAGGAATCAGATTGGGCTGGTTAGTTGGGGAAACTTATTAAAACTCTTTGACATGTTTGACATAAATGAAGACACACCTCCCGCGTCGTCGTCATAGCAATTCTCTCAGATTGAACCCTTGAACACTTTTTCTGTGACGCTCTGTTGTGTTTTTATTTCCATCCAGTCATGATGAGTAATGAAGCTCTCTCTTCTTTACTGTGTCGCTCTTTCAGACATGCAGGAGGACGATATCTGTCCATGTCTTCGTCACGCAGCCGAATATTTGACGACGTCTGACGGGAAGAAGAAAGGTGAAGGGGAGCCATAAACTGGAACACACATTAAAGTTTGAAGGAAGTGAATGTACCACATGACCTCTGTTTCCCAGGATGCACGGTAACTTAACTGCAGGTGGCCTGTGTCAGTGACGGTCTGTCCCCCTAAATGATCCATAATCCTGTCCATGAAGGCTAAAGGAATATTGAAGCTAACCATGTTACACTAACTGTCATGGAGACACGTCTAAGACCCCTGCATGTCAGGCAGGGGGCGCTCTAACCGTCTGAGCATGCTCTAAAAGAGAGTCACACCCTGCTGCATGTCGTCACTTTCATCACAGGTCACATGAAGGAAGGTCATCTATATTTGTGAATGTATTTCTCATTTTGTCATGTTTGAAACACGATCACTCTCAGCTTCACTTCATCTACAGCTCACAGCAAGAGAACCCGAGTTGTCCGTCATGTTAAATCAAAACGACTGCTCGGGGACTCTCCCCGCTGACGCTCTTCTGCGGCGTTCACACGGGACACTCCGCCCCCTCATCTCCTCAAACAGTCCGACTGAGTGTGAAGCCATAAACGGTTTTAAGAGAAGTTCACTTCCTGCCCTGATGGTTAGAAAATGTTCCCTCTTGGCTTGTCACAATACCAGAATTTAAAACTGTGATGAGATTCTAGTAAAAATCAAACATTGATACCTGTTACCACAGCAACACAAATAGAAATCTTAAGCCCTGTTCAGAGCGCCGTTTCCAGCCGCCATATATACACGCCTGTGACGTTTCTTCTCCAATCTAAATGTTGTGGAGGCGTAATGACAGTGCAGTGTCCCTGGGTTCAATCTGACCCCTGACCCTCTCCAGCGTGTTGTCCTCCACTCTCTCTCTCTCACTTCCTGTTTCTCTCCTGCTGTCCGATCTTAAAAAGACAAAAAGGCCAAAAAATCTAACGTCAAACAAACAAACAAACAGACGTGGTAAAGAGAAGAATTGTTGATAACCTCGGCTGCTTCAGCGCCACATATTGGTCAAAGGAATCCAGATTTCTTCCCTCAGAAATCTCGTCCACACACGTCCACACTTCAGGCTCCAATAACTCCAAGTGTGAAGAGAATACGACACGTTTCAACATAAGCTCCGCCCACAGCGCAAGAGCAAACGTATCACACGTTTAGAAGAACCGTGTTGGAAATATAAAATATAACGAAACCCGGCGCGGTCCAGAAATATGTTAAAGTAGTGAAAACCTCAAGGGGCGGGGCTTAAATGATCTTTTTCTTGTTCTTGTGATAATCCTTGGCTTCACCTTGCAGACCCTCTCACTTACAGTCTGTGGTAACAACAGGTAACACACAGGTCTGGCCCTTTAAATGTGTTAGCATGTAGCATTAGCTCTGGGGCTGACGACGAGCTCCTGCTGGCAGGTTCAGTGACCACGTTCACATCATGCCGCCCTCGGTCCATATCATGTCTGTGTATATAATGTATGATATCTTTTTGTATGAGTTGGACTAATTCATGATGCACAGAAGAATTCACGTGACTTTGTATTTATTGTATTTCCTGGTAACGGAGCGTCATCATCCTGCTGATTCTGATGTTTGATTATATTTATTCATGACGCCGCAGGTGGAGCGTAGATATCACGAGTTCTTTACTGTCGTGACTTATTTAGAGAAACAATGATGTATGTTTTAATCTGCTGCCAGTGTTGTGTCAATAAAAGAGATCCAATGTCACCGTGTGCGTCTGTTTATTAGCAGGAATACGGTAAATGTTCCCGATCACAGAGACCCCTCGTGCTCCGACGCTCCTAAAACGCCTGAGCCCATCTGTGGGGACAAACATCTGGAGGCTTAGCTAACGTAGCGCTCTCGCTGTTGCTTTGCTCCTAGACGACTAGATGTCATAAAAAGGAGGTCAATCCTCCTACTTGATGTGATTGGCTGATTTGGCCAGAAATGACATTGACAAGCGCTGCGACTCGGCGTCTTGAGCTGAAAAGTTGACCTTTCTTTAACCTTTAAGCGCCCCTAAAAAGCGTTACAAAAACACATCGTGCAGAGAGGAGCACTCACTAAGCGCACTGTACCAGAGGTAAACGATGGTTTCACTGGCGACGCTTTTGTAGCGACACATCTCCGTGTGATCGGGATCTAAGACTAAGCGTACAACTCCACTGCTTCAGGCGAGGACGAGGACTTACCGCAACGATCCCATGATGCATTACACAACTGCCTCTCTGGCTCTCTATGAAATGAATAGAAAGCGTTGAGACTAGAACGACTGGCATTCTATCACTACTAGAAAGGCCATAGCGGTCATTTTGACTGTTCACGAATTATTTGCATATCATTTCAATAATCAATATCAAATATAAGAATAAATGGATCTGTAATGTTGTGAAAGGTATAATAAACTTCAGGACACAAACATTAAATTCTAATGAATTTGAAATTTGAATAGTTTATCGACAACCACGGGAACAGCAGCCAGCGTTTTTTGCGAATGGGAATGATCTCTGTATCATTCTCAGGTTTAATCTCAGAGCCAGTGTCAGATGAAGAGAGACCAGGAGACATCACCTTCCGTATCTGAACCTGCGCCTCCATCAGACTCTGCCTCATCAAGGCTCTGGAGCCTCTGTGGCAGCAATCCTCCTCCTTCCTGACATTTCTATTCTGTTCTAAATCAGATCCTAATTTACTCTATTCTGCCTTTTCAATATTGATTAATTCAAATGTATGTCTCCTATTCTTTCTATATGGTTTTAGGCGGGTAAGCTTTCTTTCCTCCTTGGCTTGAGCGTTATAAACAATAGTTGCTAGGCAACAGCGATGCGCACCTTCAAGTAGGGGTGGGCGATATAACGATCTTAGATCGTGAAGGATTTTAACTTGCTGACGATCTGCCAAAGCAGAGAGATCGTAGAACCGGACTAATGTGTTTATTTTACCATTCTGCAGTTTATGCTCTGACACAGACTCGTCTCCTCCCCTTCTGCTCCGCCGCGGTGAAAACAAAACTTAAAAGTAAAGTTCGCAAAAACAACTCCATCTCGGTTATATGCAACTGTTCTGATATTTTTCCAAACCGACACGCTGTGAGCAACAGTTAACTTATCTGCATAGTGTGCACAGTTAAGATTACATCTCAGATAGCGACACGGAGAGACGTTAACAGTCAAAGACAGACAGAGCGGAGCTCAGACAGTCAGTGGAGATAAAACCCCGGTGTTTAAAATGTTGCTGTCTGTGTTTTCTGCTCTCTCTCGGTTTTTAAAAGTTACTTATCAAGCCTCTCCACCTGAAACTCACCTGTTGTGATAACTGAACCTATTGGGATTAGGCTAAACGATGTTACTAAGCAGCAGGCAGGTGAGAGTGAGTAACCATGGTGACTGTCTGTCTGTCAATCAACAATGTCCCGCCCCCTCTATGTATAAACTCTTCTGTCAGTAAAACTTACTTTGATCATGTGTCACAGAATGAACACATTCTGTATTATGTTTGATTATATATAAACCAAACTAAAGTTAGTCCAATGATGTCATAAAAAACAACAAAGGCTGCAGGTATATGAAGCTACAGCTGGAGGAGCTCTGCAGGGCTAAAATAGAACAGAAACACAACAACTCAAAGTCTACACAAAAGTTTTTTTTTATAAATGAATGCATCACTGCGTGAAAATGTTCCTGATGAACATAAAAAGAGGACACATAACTAAATCATCATTTCAAAGTGGTGAGGAAAACCTTCAAATTGTGCATAAATATTGATCAAATCGAGGGAAAGACATTTCTGTTGCTAAAGATGTTCTGGGTGAGACCTCCAGACCTCCTACAAAGATGTTTTTCAAATAGATTAAACTTGTGTTTTTGATAAAATAACAATGCTAGAATAAAATATAGACACATTTAAGAAAAGTCATGGCCCTGTAGTTACATAGGTTTTATTTTAAGTAAGTTATTACATTGCAAAATTAAAAAAACAGTCAAAATGACTGCCTTGGTCGTTCTAGTGTTAACTCTATGAAATGATTCCGCCTTTATTTGTGCCTTTATTTGCAAACAAAACTCGTGCACAGCAAAGACAGAAAGACTAATAATTTGGGTGGGGGTGTGTGTGTGTGTGTGTGTGTGGGTGGGGGGGGCTCTGTCTTTATGCTGCTAACAAGCTAGTTAGGTCAGAGGAGAGGAACCAATCAGGAGCTGGTGACAGAGAAGAAGACGCTGTGCTTTTATGTCATACAGTGAATATGTGAAGTTCTGATTGTAGTTAATTAAGTATAAATGTTTGTTATTTGACATTCCTGGTGTTCATCTTATTAACCATGAGTTTATATCTGTAGGAAGCATCTTTTGTTGTCACATGATTTCAGAGAAACGGGTACTTTATCCATGAGTGAAACAACGTAAAGTAAAAGGAGGGAGGAGTGTTCTCTGGGATAAGGTTTGTCTCTACTGATCATTTTAGCTTTATATCTGTAGTAAGAATCTTTTGTACACAGAAACAGAAAGTCAGAGAGAGAGCAGAGTTCACTTTGAAAAGGTAATCTGTTATTGCTTTGATAAAGAAAAGATTTTAATACAGGTCTGAAAAACTGTCATCTTCACTTTACAGCAGTTTCTGAAGAGAAGTTGCGGTCTGTTTCTGAGAAATCATGTGACCTCAGAGCGACCTCCATCTGCTGATATAAACTCTGCTCGTTCTCCTCGACATCAGAGCGCTTCATGACCTTGAGAGCTGAACGTCAGGTGAGAACACTTAAAGACTTAACAGCAGATTGAAATACATGGGGAAATGTATGAGACAAACTGTTACCGTTACATTGATATGAAACGACATTAAGAGAAATGTTTTAAATGTTTGCATGAAGGGGGGAGGGGCTGAGCAAGTTTCTTCACTCGTTAATATCAAGACGGCAGCTGACGGGACGCCGAGGTCACTCACTTGTTTTTTTTTATTTTAGAGAACCAATCAGCTGCTCCCTCCTCCAGCTCCTCGGAAGATGTAACCATGGCAACGTGAGTAATATATTTCCTTAACAACACAAATGAGGTGTTTCAGTGTTTCAGTACCTGTGATTGATTAGAGTGTCTTTGATGCAAGACAAGAAAAAGTTCAAGAAGTTGAACTCCACACAGAGCTGATCAGACTGCAGTGCGCAACGCTGAAGGATAAATTCAAGTCTGTTGGGTTGGAAACATTTGATGCCTGGCAGTGAAATACCTGAAGATAATTGTTTGAATCACAGACACTCTGTGTGTTTGTGACAACATATTCATGTGAACAGTCTGTGATGAACCTTAACGAGTGCAAACTGTGCTGTTATCTGACACACACACACACACACACACACACACACACACACACACACACACAGTCTTATAAATATGAACTCCTTTTGTATAATTTAAAAAGTGATTTAGACAACAATGTCATTATCAATATCCTTTATATTGTAAGTTAAACTTAATACATTATAGAGGTAGCCTACAGTACAGGTAAAAAGTGTTTGTGTGTTTAGTTTATTATATGAGAGAAAGATGTTTTTAAGTCTCTGTGTGTTCTCTTCTCAGGACGTTGTAGTCTTTAGCTGTGAGCTTTGTTCAGTGTTAGTTTTGTTTCTGTCCTTTTTATTTCAGACGAGTTGTGTTAAGTTGCATTTGCTGTAAACACCCCATGTCCTGATATGGATGTTTCACATTAAAAGCACTTCAACTTCAGATAGTCCGGAGACTTTTATTTTGAAGAACTTGTCGGAAGTAGAAAGTGTTTATCATCGAACGAACACAGCTTTAGCGGAGGTGCACTTAGCGGTGATACTGTCGGGAGTCTACTGTGTTTACAGCCGCTCACTTTATCACGAGTCACCGACACAGCCCCCTTCTTTTAGTTATCCTGGACTTAAGACAGCGAGGCATCAGTTTAAACACACCTTTAGCTGTAATGAAGATGCTCATCCATGCTGCGGTCGGCTAAAGAGACACTGAGTCAAGTTGTTTCAGCCTGCAGCGGAGCACTGTGGTCTGAGCCTGCAGGACCATAAAGTCAACAAGCACAGGACCGGGACTCAATTTACGTTGTTTTCTGTCACTAATCCCTCTGTTAGCCTACGTTACTCTCATTACACACCACTGTGTGTGTTTAGGTAAAACAAACTCACTCAACGCTGCGCAAAAACAACCACATGTAGCGGTTAGCAGATGTTTTTTTCTAACCCTCGTCAGCATCGATTATGTCCTGTCCCTGCATCAATGCATTAATCGTCTAGTCTGCATCGCGATGCATCGATTAAATGATTAATTTCAACAGCCCTAACATGGTGAAACAGACTGGAGATTATAACACCATTTAATCGGCCGAGGTCAGACAACTTCATCAAACAAGCATGCTTCCAAATCACTTGACTGACAAAGTGCTGACAAAGTAACAGTGTTCACAGTGCTGCTTATATTCTGTCAAAAAGGTGCAACCCACAAATTCCTTTCTATTTGGGTGCATCACCATAAAACAATAAAGATGACATGACACTGATTTGTATACGTATCAGATGTAGACTCTCTGTCTAGCAAACAGTTGCTGACAACATATAGTTGGCTCCTCTCCATATATAGATCTGCTAATACTTAGGTGCTTCACCCATATAAGGTTACAGCTTCAGACACCTAAAGGTAGGAGTGTTAACACGTGGTAGACAGACTGGAATGATACATTTCACGAAGTTACCAAGATGAATGAATTTCATGAAAATTCGTCCTAACAATTGCGATACAAACGGTGTGTGTGTGTGTGTGTGTGTGTCTGTGTGTGTGTGTCTGTGTGTATATGTGTGTGTGTGTGTGTGTGTGTGTGTGTGAGGGGTGTGTGTGTGTCTGTGTGTGTGTGTGTGTGTGTGTGTGTGTGTGTGTGTGTGTGTGTGTGTGTGTGTGTGTGTGTGAGGGTGTGTGTGTGTCTGTGTGTATGTGTGTGTGTGTGTCTGTGTGTGTGTGTGTGAGGGTGTGTGTGTGTGTGTGTGTGTGTGAGTGTGTGTGTGTGTGTGTGTGTGTGTGTGTATGAGGGTGTGTGTGTGTCTGTGTGTATGTGTGTGTGTGTGTGTGTGTGTGTGTGTGTGTGTGTGTGTGTGTGTGTGTGTGTGTGAGGGTGTGAGTGTGTGTGTGTGTGTGTGAGAGAGAGGGAGAAGTCACTGAGTGAGGGAGAGGAATATGTAACTTCACAAAGTTAAAGGCTCTGCTCAGGTTAAAAATATAGGCATCACTCAATCACATCGAAGTGTGTGTAAGAAAATCGTTTGCTTGCTGCCACAATTTATTTGCAAAAAAACGTCTAAAAACATTGCAACTTGCATTGAAATATTCTTTAAAAGCTGCCGCGAAATCAATCGCAATTTTAGGCTGCAACAATCCCCCAAAAAGTCCAGAAACTCCTGGAGGGACTGATCATTCAGACTTATTGTTGTGAAAAATGAATAATTGACCCTGATTGTCATTTGGTGTGAAACTGCTTAAACTGCTTTCATTAAAAGATCCCGTTTGGATCTCTTTGTAGATGTTTTCTGGTTTTTGATCGAATGTCTTCACCTTTCAACAGAAACACCACAACCAGGTATGACCACATCACCTGCAAACACCTGATCCGTTCAGGGTCTCCTACCATCTACCAGCTGACACCAAAGAAAGAGAAAATTGGAACCATAAAAAGAATGACTCTTGGTGAAAAAAATCCAACTAAAGTACACAAAACTATCCTGCTTGTGGGAGAAACAGCAACGGGAAAATCTGCTCTGATCAACGCTCTGGTCAACTGTCTGGTTTGAGATCGTAGAGGACGAGAAGAAGCAATCACAGAGTCAAGAGGAGGATGTGAAACGTGAATATGAAAGTCAGACATCAGATGTGATCGTGTACGAGATCTTTGGCTTTGAAGATAAAACTCTGCCCTACTCTCTGACCATCATTGATACTCCTGGATACGGAGATACCAGAGGGCCTGAATATGATGACGCCATCTCTACTAGATTAACTGACGTGTTCCGCTCACAGTACGGAGTTCATGAGATGAATGTCGTGGGTCTGGTGCTGAAAGCGAGCGAGAATCGACTAAGTGACCGTCTGTGGTACGTCTTTGATTCAGTGGCGTCTCTGTTTGGAAAAGACATGGAGAACAACATCGTCTGTCTCATCACACACTCAGATGGAGGGAAACCTAAAAATGTTCTTGACGCTCTCAATGCTGCAAACATCAAGTGTGCCAAAGATGAAAATAATCAGCCTGTTCACTTCCTGTTTAATAACCTACAAAACAAAGAGAGAACAAAGAAAATTAGAGTCCTTATAAATGCACATGAAACAACAATGGAAGGAATGTCAGAGTTTGGAGAGTTTCTGCTTAGAAAAGCTCCACAACAGCTGAAGACAACTGTGGACGTTCTGGATGAACGCATCAGACTGACAGCAAGCATCCAAAACCTGCAAGAGCGAGTTGAGCTGATTGAATTTCAACAGAAAGAAATCCAACAGACTCAGGAAGCCCTGAGGAAACATGAACAAGAGATGAAGAGCAATGAGAACTTCACTGTAGAAGTTGACGAGCCCTACAAAGTTAAAGAAACTATCAGCGGTGGAATGTGGGCATGGGTGTTATATGAAGGAGCTGTGTCCTGTAATGTCTGTGAGGAGAACTGTCACTACCCTGGATGCACAATGGCCTGGTCTCCCAGTTTCTGTGAGGTGATGAAAAAAGGTCGCTGCACTGTATGTACAGGGAAATGCCCTGTGTCAGATCATGTGAAGGAAAAGTGGAGATATGTGACTAAGACAAGGAAAGGGACAAAAACTCTTCAAGATGTGAAAAAGAAGTTTGACCAAAGTAAAGCAGACTGCAAAGAGAAAACAAGCCTTCTGGAAACAGTTCAGAAGAAAATGGACGAACTTAAAAAGGACAAAGATCAGTGGTTGGAAGAGTCCTTCCAACATGTTCTCAAACTGGAGCAGATCGCTCTGAATGTTGATTCACTGTCCACTCATATCCATCTGGACTTCCTGATTGAGAAGATGAAGGAGAACAGTGATAGGTTTGAGGAGAAGGTCCAGAAACTGGAGGAGATAAAGAGGCGAGTGAATAAAGGAACCAGAGCAGGGCTGGCGTACATGTTCGGTAGACTGACTGTATCTGCTGGCAGAGCATTTAAATAAATGTTGGAGTAGGTGAACAAGATCATTTTGAGAAGCTCTGATTTAAACACGATGATCTTGTTGATACAAACTTTAAATCATAGCAAAGATTTAATCATGATATTAATGCTCCACATAAACTTAAATGTAATCACATTGTAAATTTAACATTTGTAATTCCTTCTAGTTTATTATTCACCAACAAAACTTTCATTCTTATATATTAGAGAGAGAGAGAATCTGACTTAAAATATCTGATAGTGTCATCCAGCCCATTGAACTGTACGGTAGTGAAGTATGGGGTCCACTCAGACATCAGAGCTACACACGCTGGGACAATCAGCCAACAGAATCTTTACACGCTGAATTCTTCAGACTGCAGTGTCTGGCCCGAGGATCGTCTGGGATCAAAGGACTGGGCAGGTGAGCTCCTCATGAACCTGGTCCTGAACAGGTTGACTTGATCAGGAGGTCATCAGCCCAGATCAAATGTCTGAGGCTGATACTGTTAGTAAAGGTCGGATTAGAGAAGTCCTCCTCCACTGAGACGAAGATATCCACTTTTAATCTACAATCTTTTTCAAAACTGGTGCCTACATTACCGAGAATGCTCCTCTTCAGAATATTGGTTATTTTCTTCTGAAGTTGACATGAACGGCTCCTCACTTTGTATTTATCTGACAGCTGGAGATTTTTAATACGTTCTTTCATGCTGTGTTGGTGTGTTCTCAGGACCTTTAAAATAATGGATGATGATAAAAATCGCTCTCTGGACTTGAAGGAGTTTCTGAAAGGTTTGAACGATTATGGGATCCTGATCGAGAAACAGGAAGCAGCGGATATCTTTCAGCGCTTCGATCACGACGGGAACGGGACCATCGACTTTGACGAGTTCCTCATTACCCTGAGGGTAAAACTGCAGACCCCTCACTGTGCGGCCAGGAGCGGGAAACCTTCCCTCATTCAGCCACGGAGGTCATTATTCTGGATTCAGTTAGAATCCCATCGATGAATAAACATGTAGTCTTTCTGTTGTTGCAGCCGCAGATGTCTAAAGCCAGGAAGGAGGTGGTCATGCAGGCATTTCGGAAGCTGGATAAGACGGGAGACGGCGTGATCACCATCGAAGACCTGAGGGGGGTTTATAACGCCAAGTACCACCCCAAGTATCAGAACGGGGAGTGGACGGAGGATCAGGTGTTCAGGAAGTTCTTGGACAGCTTCGACTCGCCGTGCGACAAAGACGGAAAGGTAACAGACGCAGTTAGCCTGATGAGCGTGTTACTGTCGGAGACTTGTCAGTAGACTAGACAAATGTTTTTCTGACATATCCGCCGCCAGCACCGAGGGGCCACGCGGCCTCGGGTGCGGGTATCTCAAACCGGCACCCACCATCAGCTCCCCTCCAATCACACATCAGCATGCAGCACCAGCTCCCGGCCAATGAGTGACAGGCAATGAGCGCTCATCCAATCACACAGCAGGTACCTGCAACACAGCACAGGAGGGACAGGCGCAACATAGGAAAAAGCAAAGCCATGAAGGCGGATTTAATAATAATAAAAAAATATAATCCCAGACTTTACACTGAACTTGTGACTCACAGTCATCCATGTCACCTCCCAGACTCTGTTCAGTGTAGACGTGAAGAAGTGTGAAAGGTTTGTCATGTTCCTCGCCTTTAAAGGACTTACAGACACAGAGCACAGCTGTTCTGCGTCTAAGCTTCCCGTCCTGAGTGTTGCTGTCAGAGGACGGCCGAGCGAACACGATGTACTAATGCTAACGCTGGTGTTCCTCTCTGAAGGTGACTCAGGAAGAGTTCATGAATTACTATTCTGGTGTGAGTGCTTCCATCGACACAGACGTCTACTTTATCGTGATGATGAGGAGCGCCTGGAAACTCTGAGCGAGCTGTGTTCTGGTATAAAGTAGCTCATGTTGGCGGTGGTGGTGGTGGAGGGAGGTCGCAGCGGCTTCCCGTTTCTCTCTGTTTTCTTTGTTTCCTCAATGACTCTGTTCTCTGTTTCCTTCTGCTGGAGTGGAGCGATTATTTATGGGAATATTTGCACATTAAAGCAGTATGTGTAACTCTGACCCCTAGTGTTTAAAATGGGTACTGCAGTCTAAATTCTAAACATTGTAGAGAGCTGTCTCCCCTCACCCCCTCCTCTCTAGAGTGGATGCTCACGCAGGTCACCATGTGGTGGACACTGAAGCTTCAGTGTTTATCCAGCTCTGCATCGGTCTGTAAACCTTTCTGTGTTCTAACCTCTCTCCATTTTTCAAAAGCATCTCCAATATTGATCCTAGTTTGAGCACGTTTCTGCTCGTGGAGCTTATTAGAAACATGCAAAGGCTTTTTAAGTCGGGTACAATCACTTCTATCTGAACCACTTCTCTTGCCCGCTTCCATCGCTGCAACACCTGTTGGTTTGACCTGATAACTGCTCTCATATCTGACAAACCGAGGGGCGTCTGACTGAATGTCTGTTAACGATTCATCTTAGATTCATCAAAGTTTTATAGAGCTGAAATAAACTTGGTGTAGATGCTTTTTTATTGGAGGTGATTCATTAATAAAAAGGATTCCTCTTTTTGGACAGAAACCAGCTGCTTCATGGTCGATTAACTGCTCATCTCTCATGCTTTTACTTTGAAGTTTAACTCTCATGCTTTTACTTTGTAGTTTAACTCTCATGCTTTTACTTTGAAGTTGAACTCTCATGCTTTTACTTTGTAGTTTAACTCTCATGCTTTTACTTTGTAGTTCAACTCTCATGCTTTTACTTTGAAGTTCAGCTCTCATGCTTTTACTTTGTAGTTTAACTCTTATGCTTTTACTTTGTAGTTTAACTCTCATGATTTTACTTTGTAGTTTACCTCTTCAGACTCCTCCTTCTTGTCGTTTCGTTCTGAACGTTGTCATTCTGTTTGATGTAAAATTCTTTGTTCTGGCAGGTGACCAAAGAGGAGTTCATCAACTATTACTGCGGAGTCAGCGCCTCCATCGACAACGACGTCAACTTCATCCTCATGATGAGAAACGCCTGGAAGCTTTGAGTCTGATTAGACCTGTCCTACTTGCCCAACCACTCCTACCTGTCCTACCTATCCTACCTGTTCTACCTGTCCTACCTGTCCTACCTATCCTACCTGTCCTACCTGTCCTACCTATCCTACCTATCCTACCTGTCCTACCTATACTACCTGTCATACCTGTCCTGTAATAATGAGTATGATTTTATAATCCACATTGTTTTGCTTGATGTCAGGCTTTTGTCTTTATGTTGTAACTTTTTGTGCTTTTAGTTAAAAGTTTAACATTTTTAAGAGATTTTGAACATTTGTGATTTTAATGTTAGAAATATTTTTATTCTACATGTCTCTGAAGGTAAACACAAGGGGGCAGTATGACTTTATAACATGTTTTTATTGATATGCATAAAACCACAGACTGTTAAAGTAAAAAGATTTGTACATTGGTTATATTTTAGAATATGTTGTAACAATAACTGAGATTAGAGCCACATTAAAAAAATACTTTGTGAACAAAGTCGTAACGCTACAAGAATAACTGTAAGATAAAAGCTGAATCACCTGAATAGTTGCAAAAAATAAAGATGTACTATTTTAGAAAAGCCTTTTATATTTAGGCTCTTTTCTCCAACTTGATCTCCTAATATGACGACTTTATTCTGAAATACAACACCTTATAAGGTCTTCATCCCTAAACTCTCAGGTAATGTGCCCTTTGCTCTGTGCTGTGCAGCAGGTACAATCAGACTTTAAAGTTTCTGATATCTTATAAAAGTTCATTCTGACCATTTCAGTCTGCGCAGAAATAAAAATCGAGGTGCATGTTGTGTTACATATTTTCAAAAGCAGCTTTGTGTTTGTCATGTCCACAAACAGTCGGGTCAGGCCTCTGCAGCTCTGCAGCTCACCTGTAGCTCACCTGCAGCTCAGAGTGATGTCACAGTGCTGAGCAAAGGAAAGCAGCTGTTTCACAGACAGAAGAGTCTGAGTGTCCTGAATGAGGAGGTGTGCATCAGGAGTTTGTTTCCCTTCATACAGATTTGAGCAGCTTTGTTTGAAAGGACCTCGCTGGTGTTTTCAGATATTTTTAACTGTGGTCTGTATAAATCATGGACGTACTCAGTGCCGTCATCAGGGGTTTTTGAAGAGAGGAGTTGTGAAGCTGAATGAAGGTGGTCACCATGTTGGCAATACTGACTCTACCTAACTTTAGATCAATCTAGACACAGGCAAAGCGACGGTTTGGCCGACTCCTTGCACACAGCCATGAGCGAGTAGGTGGACTACAACAACAATGGCGGAGTTCTGTTTGTGCTGATCGCTCTGTTGAATTAAGAAATGCTTCTCCAGCTAAGTGAAGATTAACCGCTCCATCATCAAATACTGAATCGACCTACATGCCTGAGAAGGAGCAGCCACAAGGCGATTAGCTGTTAGCTGTTTCTGTATGTTTACCCCTCACCGCTCTGAAGAGGGAAGAGTCTGGTTGTTTTATAAACCTCCTACTGTCTTAGAAGGTCGTACTGATTGGTCTAAAGTGCAGGATGAGGGGTGCTGGTGGAGCAGTGGTTAGCCCCATGTATGGAGGCTGTCGTCTCAAACGGGCGGCTCGGGTTTACATCCGGCCTGTGGCTTCTTTCCCGCATGTCATTCCCCACTCTCTCTCCCTGATTTCCGACTCTATCCACTGTCCTATCTATCAATTAAAAGGCACAAAAAGTCCCCCCAAAAAATAAAAAAATCTAAGACAAAGTGCAGGATGAGAACAAATGTGAGATCCTCAGTCTGCCAAAACTACCCCGATGTGGTAATGATTCTGGAAAACCTACAGTCAGCAGCTGTTGAAGTAAACAGTGAGGAGGTCCAACGTGTCTGAAGGTCCTGGACTAATTTGTGCAGTCGGCAGTTTGAGGAGTTGTCAGTACACGAAAAACATCAAATTAATAATGAAAACATCAAAATAAACATCAAAAGCAACAAAATACTTCAAGTCTATATTTCCATGTCCCCAAATCAAAGAGTGCAGTCGATCGTTCTGCTGTCAGTGAAACATAATTCTCTCTTCGACCTGCAGAAAGAAGAATTACAGACATTTATGAGGAGGCAGGCTGATGCGTCGTCCTCTTCATTCATACCTGACATCCTTCAGGTGAACTTCATGAATCATCATGTGATCACTCTGGAGTCACCTGGGATTCATGAATCCAGATGACCCACATACTTCAGTCCGGACATCAAGTGGGCACTAAAAAACTGACTTTTACTTTAAGGTTTGGTGGCCTCTCAGATGTATCTAGGGTCCTCATGAGGGGTCCTGACCCGCAGATTACGAAGCACTGATAAGAGCATCCTCAGGTGTAGCTGGTTGTCTCCTAGTCTTCCACACTCCTCCTCCTGACCTATTTGATCTGATAGAAGCTGGACATGGTGACGTAGGCCTCCTCCTGCTGACTCCCTCCTGACTCCTCCCCCTCATTTCCTCCCTCGCTGTGCTCTTGTGGGGGCGTGTGAGGTCTCTGCTCATCCTGGAGGAAGTTGATGGAGGATGGACCGCTGCTCTGGACGCCGTCCTCCACATCTGAGGAGCTCCTGCTCAGCAGGCCGGACAGCTCCTCGGTGCTGATGCTGGTGATGGTGGTGGAGCACTCGGAGGTCTGGGTGGAGCAGGGAGGAGTCGAGGAGCTGCTGTTAGCTGCAGGAGGAGTCAGAGGGTCAGTCTCCTCACACGGCTGCTCCTCTGATTTGGCCAAAGGAGACACTCTCAGAGCGCTGAACTCTTCAGGTTTGAAGTTCAGCAGGAGGCCCTGCAGCAAAGAGACGTTGAAATATTATCGAACAGGAGATGAAATCTAAACATCAGAACCACTAACAGAACTGTTTCTACGACGACCAACAACAAGGAGCACAAAACAAAAATCTGAAAATCTGAACAGATGAGGATGATCGAACAGCTCAACTCTAAACTCTGAGATCTCACTGAATCTCTCACCATCACAGGTCAGAGGAAACAAACATGGAGGACGGAGGGCAGGAAGAGTTGGTGATTGTTTTTTTGGACTTTTTACTGAAAATTAATTTAGTCAACGAACGATTCAAGTTCAAGTTCAACTCTGGACAAAGTCGTGGAGACAGAGTGAACATGTTCTGTATGTGTAACAGAGCGAGCAGGAGGAGAGTGAAAACATTTGCTTAGGTTGTTGTTTGTCCTTCTTCATGTAGCTTGCTGGAAATGCTGTCTCAGTCTAACTTTCAGTCAACCTAACGACAGACTGAGAGCTGGAGCTGAGGCGGGTTTTAAGCCTGCTGACAAACCGTTACACCGCGCCCTCCTGTCAATCATGTCAGCTACACGCCTTATTGTGAATAACTCTTATCCTTCATCAAATCAAAACTGATGAGTCATCAAAACATTCACCCCCCCCGTACAGTGTGTGTCGATCGAGACATGAGCTAATCAGACCAGTTTGTTTTTTTGAACCAGGCTGTAAACATGTTCATCTCTGCTGTAAAAACAGGCTTTTTAGAATGGGTGTGTATGTGACTTCCTGTGCTTCTGCAGCCAGCCTCTAGTGGACACTCGAGGAACTGCAGCACATCATTCTGAGCAGATCACTGGGGATAACCCTTTACAGCACAGAACATCTGACAGGATCATCTTAGAAACATTCAAACATCTTAACTTTGATTGTCTGACCTGATCTAACAAATCACATCTTCAAAATAAACATCACAAGTCTGTGGTTTCGGAGACCAGAGGACAGTCTCACCTTATTGGGCCTGCAGATCTGCACCAGAGTGTGTTTGGGGTGGGGGATGCTCGGCCACATGTAGGAAAAGATCCTGCAGAGGAAAGAGGAATGTAAACACCACGTGTCACAAACATCATAAATCATCAAATGGTCTCACACAGCGGAGGCGTCTCACTTGATTTTCCAGAAGAAAACAACACAGGAAGTGACAAGCAGCAGCACGACGAGGCACACCGTCAGTCTGAGCGTCGACACATCCGTCTGTTTGTGGACTCTTTGTTCTAGAACAACTAAAGAGGAGAGAGAGAGAGTTCAAATAAAAAGATCCGCCCTCTGAAGCCACAGTGAAAACATGGCTCCAGGCTGATCGGTGACAAATCATGTGATATCCAATATTCAGACCGAGTGTACGGCCACACTGGATCGTCTCACTACTACATTAAAAATCATTCCTAGGACTCCTTTACAAAGAAAGGATCCTTACTTTGGGATTTTTCAGTTAGAGGTTAAAATAGCAGGGAAACTCCTTCACACTTCCAAAACATTTGGAGTGATACGTTGGTCGATGTTTTTGTTTACCTGCAGTCGGCCGCAAAGAATTATCTTCAGCGCTCGATAATGTGGAATCACGCTCACCGTCAGGAGTAAAGAAGGGGGACGAGTCGCTCCACTCGCTCCAGGTGCCCTGTAGGTGTCCGAGTGGTATGGCTCGCACTCGGACGTGGTACTGTGTGTTCAAGGTCAGGTGCTGCATGTTGACCTTCAGAGTGTCTGAGGACGACACGTTCTGAGTCTGAGGATGAAGAGGAGACACAGACATGACCTCGATCGTCTCCGATAAAGAGAGAGAACTACAGAAGAAGAAGAAGAAGAAGAAGAGGAGGTGTTACCAAGGAGCTGCCTGCACTCCAGATCAGCAGCTGGAACATCTGGTTCTCTACTTTCAGGTACTGTTGGTGGTATGGGGTCTGAATGTGGAACACGGCCTGGTAAGAGTCGAGGTCAAAGGTCACGCTGGACACCTGAGGGCTCCTTGGTTTCACTGCAGGGACAGGAAGAAGCAGATGACACAGTGAGTGGGGGGGGGGGGGCTACATTTTGCATTTTTTGCATTTTTCAACACCGGATGTTGCTGCTTGGTTTGGTGCCAAATAATTTTTATTTGTAAAAGACTTTCATCCAAAATCCTGTTCCCTGAGCGCCCCCTGCAGGCCTGGAGCACTTAGGTTGTAATCTCTGTATAAAGAATGGACAGCCTACAGTGAAGCCTTATGTCAAATCTATGGGCCGCTGCAGCACATTTGGCCTTGTTGGACACCGTAGTTTCCCCTCTTGGCACCCAGACCTGAGTTCAAAGGTTTGTTCAAACAGTGTGAGAGAGCTGCGGTGTACCGATCTTCTTCAGTTCCACGGTGGTCGTAATCCGCCGTCCTCTCTTCAGGTAGACGGTCACATTGTAGTCACCCAGAGGATTCAGTTGTGTGGAGCTCACCGTGTCCCCGAGTCCCTCAATGCAGCGCTCTGCCTTTTGGCCCCAGTCTCTGTAGCTGAACACAAACACAGTCATGAACACATCCTGCTCTCTGGATGCTGCTGATGTTCACCTGAAGAATCATTTACCACATGGTTATCTTCTGGATGCTGTCGGTCTCTTCATCTTCATCATCCTCGCTGTTGCCCCCCCTTCCCTCCAGTCGGCAGGTCAGACTGCAGCTATCCATCATGATGTGAGAGAAGCAGCTGAGTCCTGGCTCTGAAACACAAACGTGACGAGGAAAAAAAATATTCTGACCTGTTACAGAGTTTGAGTTGTTCTTCTTCTTTATCCTGACGGATCAAATCTGTGTTCAGACGCTTAACTCAAATTCATACTCTGCTAAAAGTAACTGCTCGTCTCCTCTTTACACCTCTATAAACCTAACAACAGCAACACAACAGCAACAACACAACAGCAACCACATGGCAACAACATGACAACACGACAGCAAAAACATCTGTACAGTGTGTGATAACGACATGAGCTATTCAGATGCAAACTGTCTTTCAACCAGGCTGTACACATGTTCATTTCTGATGTAAAGTCGGACATTTTAATTTAGGAAAGGGACGAGGATTTATTAGCTTTTACAGACAGCCTCTAGTGGACACTGGAGGAACTGCAGCTGTAAAGTTGGACATTTTAACATGGGGCTCTATGGGGACTGACTCACTGCAGGACACAGACTCTAGTGGACCCTGGAGGAACTGCAGCTGTAAACATGTTTATTTTAACATGGGGCTCTATGGGGACTGACTCACTGCAGGAGACAGACTCTAGTGGACACTGGAGGAACTGCAGCTGTAAAGTTGGACATTTTAACATGGGGCTCTATGGGGACTGACTCACTGCAGGAGACAAACTCTAGTGGACACTGGAGGAACTGCAGCTGTAAAGTTAGACATTTTAACATGGAGCTCTATGGGGACTGACTCACTGCAGGAGACAGCCTCTAGTGGACACGGGAGGAACTGCAGCTGTAAAGTTGGACATTTTAACATGGGGCTCTATGGGGACTGACTCACTGCAGGAGACAGACTCTAGTGGACATGGGAGGAACTGCAGCTGTAAAGTTAGACATTTTAACATGGAGCTCTATGGGGACTGACTCACTGCAGGAGACAAACTCTAGTGGACACTGGAGGAACTGCAGTTTTTTTTGCACTTCTGCATTTGGTCATTTTTCAACACCAGAGGTTGCGGCTTGGTTTGCCGCCAAATAAATTTTCTCCCTAAAGGGCTTTCATCCAAAATTCTGTTCCCTGAGCGCCCCCTGCAGGCCTGGAGCATTTAGATTGTAATCTCTGGATGTGCAGCATAGACTGTATAAAGAATGGACATCCTCAAGTGAAACCAAACCATGTAGAGCTCCCCTCTGCTGACTGACTGCAGTATACACCTCAAGACACGACAACAGCAACACAACAGCAACAACACGACAACAACAACAACACGACAACAACACACAGAAAGAGAACTCCACCTGCTCTGCATGAAATAAATATGATTTTGCTGTTTTTTATTTAACTGACCGAGTGTACGGCCACACTGGATCGTCTCACTACTACATTAAAAATCATTCCTAGGACTCCTTTACAAAGAAAGGATCCTTACTTTGGGATTTTTCAGTTAGAGGTTAAAATAGCAGGGAAACTCCTTCACACTTCCAAAACATTTGGAGTGATACGTTGGTCGATGTTTTTGTTTACCTGCAGTCGGCCGCAAAGAATTATCTTCAGCGCTCGATAATGTGGAATCACGCTCACCGTCAGGAGTAAAGAAGGGGGACGAGTCGCTCCACTCGCTCCAGGTGCCCTGTAGGTGTCCGAGTGGTATGGCTCGCACTCGGACGTGGTACTGTGTGTTCAAGGTCAGGTGCTGCATGTTGACCTTCAGAGTGTCTGAGGACGACACGTTCTGAGTCTGAGGATGAAGAGGAGACACAGACATGACCTCGATCGTCTCCGATGAAGAGAGAGAACTACAGAAGAAGAAGAAGAAGAAGAAGAGGAGGTGTTACCAAGGAGCTGCCTGCACTCCAGATCAGCAGCTGGAACATCTGGTTCTCTACTTTCAGGTACTGTTGGTGGTATGGGGTCTGAATGTGGAACACGGCCTGGTAAGAGTCGAGGTCAAAGGTCACGCTGGACACCTGAGGGCTCCTTGGTTTCACTGCAGGGACAGGAAGAAGCAGATGACACAGTGAGTGGGGGGGGGGGGCTACATTTTGCATTTTTTGCATTTTTCAACACCGGATGTTGCTGCTTGGTTTGGTGCCAAATAATTTTTATTTGTAAAAGACTTTCATCCAAAATCCTGTTCCCTGAGCGCCCCCTGCAGGCCTGGAGCACTTAGGTTGTAATCTCTGTATAAAGAATGGACAGCCTACAGTGAAGCCTTATGTCAAATCTATGGGCCGCTGCAGCACATTTGGCCTTGTTGGACACCGTAGTTTCCCCTCTTGGCACCCAGACCTGAGTTCAAAGGTTTGTTCAAACAGTGTGAGAGAGCTGCGGTGTACCGATCTTCTTCAGTTCCACGGTGGTCGTAATCCGCCGTCCTCTCTTCAGGTAGACGGTCACATTGTAGTCACCCAGAGGATTCAGTTGTGTGGAGCTCACCGTGTCCCCGAGTGTCTCAATGCAGCGCTCTGCCTTTTGGCCCCAGTCTCTGTAGCTGAACACAAACACAGTCATGAACACATCCTGCTCTCTGGATGCTGCTGATGTTCACCTGAAGAATCATTTACCACATGGTTATCTTCTGGATGCTGTCGGTCTCTTCATCTTCATCATCCTCGCTGTTGCCCCCCCTTCCCTCCAGTCGGCAGGTCAGACTGCAGCTATCCATCATGATGTGAGAGAAGCAGCTGAGTCCTGGCTCTGAAACACAAACGTGACGAGGAAAAAAAATATTCTGACATGTTACAGAGTTTGAGTTGTTCTTCTTCTTTATCCTGACGGATCAAATCTGTGTTCAGACGCTTAACTCAAATTCATACTCTGCTAAAAGTAGCTGCTCGTCTCCTCTTTACACCTCTATAAACCTAACAACAGCAACACAACAGCAACAACACAACAGCAACCACATGGCAACAACATGACAACACGACAGCAAAAACATCTGTACAGTGTGTGCCGATAACGACATGAGCTATTCAGATGCAAACTGTCTTTCAACCAGGCTGTACACATGTTCATTTCTGATGTAAAGTCGGACATTTTAATTTAGGAAAGGGACGAGGATTTATTAGCTTTTACAGACAGCCTCTAGTGGACACTGGAGGAACTGCAGCTGTAAAGTTGGACATTTTAACATGGGGCTCTATGGGGACTGACTCACTGCAGGACACAGACTCTAGTGGACCCTGGAGGAACTGCAGCTGTAAACATGTTTATTTTAACATGGGGCTCTATGGGGACTGACTCACTGCAGGAGACAGACTCTAGTGGACACTGGAGGAACTGCAGCTGTAAAGTTGGACATTTTAACATGGGGCTCTATGGGGACTGACTCACTGCAGGAGACAAACTCTAGTGGACACTGGAGGAACTGCAGCTGTAAAGTTAGACATTTTAACATGGAGCTCTATGGGGACTGACTCACTGCAGGAGACAGCCTCTAGTGGACACGGGAGGAACTGCAGCTGTAAAGTTGGACATTTTAACATGGGGCTCTATGGGGACTGACTCACTGCAGGAGACAGCCTCTAGTGGACATGGGAGGAACTGCAGCTGTAAAGTTAGACATTTTAACATGGAGCTCTATGGGGACTGACTCACTGCAGGAGACAGACTCTAGTGGACACTGGAGGAACTGCAGTTTCTTTTGCACTTCTGCATTTGGTCATTTTTCAACACCAGAGGTTGCGGCTTGGTTTGCCGCCAAATAAATTTTCTCCCTAAAGGGCTTTCATCCAAAATTCTGTTCCCTGAGCGCCCCCTGCAGGCCTGGAGCATTTAGATTGTAATCTCTGGATGTGCAGCATAGACTGTATAAAGAATGGACATCCTCAAGTGAAACCAAACCATGTAGAGCTCCCCTCTGCTGACTGACTGCAGTATACACCTCAAGACACGACAACAGCAACACAACAGCAACAACACGACAACAACAACAACACGACAACAACACACAGAAAGAGAACTCCACCTGCTCTGCATGAAATAAATATGATTTTGCTGTTTTTTATTTAACTGACCGAGTGTACGGCCACACTGGATCGTCTCACTACTACATTAAAAATCATTCCTAGGACTCCTTTACAAAGAAAGGATCCTTACTTTGGGATTTTTCAGTTAGAGGTTAAAATAGCAGGGAAACTCCTTCACACTTCCAAAACATTTGGAGTGATACGTTGGTCGATGTTTTTGTTTACCTGCAGTCGGCCGCAAAGAATTATCTTCAGCGCTCGATAATGTGGAATCACGCTCACCGTCAGGAGTAAAGAAGGGGGACGAGTCGCTCCACTCGCTCCAGGTGCCCTGTAGGTGTCCGAGTGGTATGGCTCGCACTCGGACGTGGTACTGTGTGTTCAAGGTCAGGTGCTGCATGTTGACCTTCAGAGTGTCTGAGGACGACACGTTCTGAGTCTGAGGATGAAGAGGAGACACAGACATGACCTCGATCGTCTCCGATGAAGAGAGAGAACTACAGAAGAAGAAGAAGAAGAAGAAGAGGAGGTGTTACCAAGGAGCTGCCTGCACTCCAGATCAGCAGCTGGAACATCTGGTTCTCTACTTTCAGGTACTGTTGGTGGTATGGGGTCTGAATGTGGAACACGGCCTGGTAAGAGTCGAGGTCAAAGGTCACGCTGGACACCTGAGGGCTCCTTGGTTTCACTGCAGGGACAGGAAGAAGCAGATGACACAGTGAGTGGGGGGGGGGGGGGCTACATTTTGCATTTTTTGCATTTTTCAACACCGGATGTTGCTGCTTGGTTTGGTGCCAAATAATTTTTATTTGTAAAAGACTTTCATCCAAAATCCTGTTCCCTGAGCGCCCCCTGCAGGCCTGGAGCACTTAGGTTGTAATCTCTGTATAAAGAATGGACAGCCTACAGTGAAGCCTTATGTCAAATCTATGGGCCGCTGCAGCACATTTGGCCTTGTTGGACACCGTAGTTTCCCCTCTTGGCACCCAGACCTGAGTTCAAAGGTTTGTTCAAACAGTGTGAGAGAGCTGCGGTGTACCGATCTTCTTCAGTTCCACGGTGGTCGTAATCCGCCGTCCTCTCTTCAGGTAGACGGTCACATTGTAGTCACCCAGAGGATTCAGTTGTGTGGAGCTCACCGTGTCCCCGAGTCCCTCAATGCAGCGCTCTGCCTTTTGGCCCCAGTCTCTGTAGCTGAACACAAACACAGTCATGAACACATCCTGCTCTCTGGATGCTGCTGATGTTCACCTGAAGAATCATTTACCACATGGTTATCTTCTGGATGCTGTCGGTCTCTTCATCTTCATCATCCTCGCTGTTGCCCCCCCTTCCCTCCAGTCGGCAGGTCAGACTGCAGCTATCCATCATGATGTGAGAGAAGCAGCTGAGTCCTGGCTCTGAAACACAAACGTGACGAGGAAAAAAAATATTCTGACATGTTACAGAGTTTGAGTTGTTCTTCTTCTTTATCCTGACGGATCAAATCTGTGTTCAGACGCTTAACTCAAATTCATACTCTGCTAAAAGTAGCTGCTCGTCTCCTCTTTACACCTCTATAAACCTAACAACAGCAACACAACAGCAACAACACAACAGCAACCACATGGCAACAACATGACAACACGACAGCAAAAACATCTGTACAGTGTGTGCCGATAACGACATGAGCTATTCAGATGCAAACTGTCTTTCAACCAGGCTGTACACATGTTCATTTCTGATGTAAAGTCGGACATTTTAATTTAGGAAAGGGACGAGGATTTATTAGCTTTTACAGACAGCCTCTAGTGGACACTGGAGGAACTGCAGCTGTAAAGTTGGACATTTTAACATGGGGCTCTATGGGGACTGACTCACTGCAGGACACAGACTCTAGTGGACCCTGGAGGAACTGCAGCTGTAAACATGTTTATTTTAACATGGGGCTCTATGGGGACTGACTCACTGCAGGAGACAGACTCTAGTGGACCCTGGAGGAACTGCAGCTGTAAACATGTTTATTTTAACATGGGGCTCTATGGGGACTGACTCACTGTAGGAGACAGACTCTAGTGGACACTGGAGGAACTGCAGCTGTAAAGTTAGACATTTTAACATGGAGCTCTATGGGGACTGACTCACTGCAGGAGACAGCCTCTAGTGGACACGGGAGGAACTGCAGCTGTAAAGTTGGACATTTTAACATGGGGCTCTATGGGGACTGACTCACTGCAGGAGACAGCCTCTAGTGGACACGGGAGGAACTGCAGCTGTAAAGTTAGACATTTTAACATGGAGCTCTATGGGGACTGACTCACTGCAGGAGACAGACTCTAGTGGACACTGGAGGAACTGCAGTTTTTTTTGCACTTCTGCATTTGGTCATTTTTCAACACCAGAGGTTGCGGCTTGGTTTGCCGCCAAATAAATTTTCTCCCTAAAGGGCTTTCATCCAAAATTCTGTTCCCTGAGCGCCCCCTGCAGGCCTGGAGCATTTAGATTGTAATCTCTGGATGTGCAGCATAGACTGTATAAAGAATGGACATCCTCAAGTGAAACCAAACCATGTAGAGCTCCCCCCTGCTGACTGACTGCAGTATACACCTCAAGACACGACAACAGCAACACAACAGCAACAACACGACAACAACAACAACACGACAACAACACACAGAAAGAGAACTCCACCTGCTCTGCATGAAATAAATATGATTTTGCTGTTTTTTATTTAACTGACCGAGTGTACGGCCACACTGGATCGTCTCACTACTACATTAAAAATCATTCCTAGGACTCCTTTACAAAGAAAGGATCCTTACTTTGGGATTTTTCAGTTAAAGGTTAAAATAGCAGGGAAACTCCTTCACACTTCCAAAACATTTGGAGTGATACGTTGGTCGATGTTTTTGTTTACCTGCAGTCGGCCGCAAAGAATTATCTTCAGTGCTCGATAATGTGGAATCACGCTCACCGTCAGGAGTAAAGAAGGGGGACGAGTCGCTCCACTCGCTCCAGGTGCCCTGTAGGTGTCCGAGTGGTATGGCTCGCACTCGGACGTGGTACTGTGTGTTCAAGGTCAGGTGCTGCATGTTGACCTTCAGAGTGTCTGAGGACGACACGTTCTGAGTCTGAGGATGAAGAGGAGACACAGACATGACCTCGATCGTCTCCGATAAAGAGAGAGAACTACAGAAGAAGAAGAAGAAGAGGAGGTGTTACCAAGGAGCTGCCTGCACTCCAGATCAGCAGCTGGAACATCTGGTTCTCTACTTTCAGGTACTCTCGGGGGTGCAGGGTCTGAATGTGGAACACGGCCTGGTAAGAGTCGAGGTCAAAGGTCACGTTGGACACCTGAGGGCTCCTTGGTTTCACTGCAGGGACAGGAAGAAGCAGATGACACAGTGAGTGGGGGGGGGGGCTACATTTTGCATTTTTTGCATTTTTCAACACCGGATGTTGCTGCTTGGTTTGGTGCCAAATAATTTTTATTTGTAAAAGACTTTCATCCAAAATCCTGTTCCCTGAGCGCCCCCTGCAGGCCTGGAGCACTTAGGTTGTAATCTCTGTATAAAGAATGGACAGCCTACAGTGAAGCCTTATGTCAAATCTATGGGCCGCTGCAACACATTTGGCCTTGTTGGACACCGTAGTTTCCCCTCTTGGCACCCAGACCTGAGTTCAAAGGTTTGTTCAAACAGTGTGAGAGAGCTGCGGTGTACCGATCTTCTTCAGTTCCACGGTGGTCGTAATCCGCCGTCCTCTCTTCAGGTAGACGGTCACATTGTAGTCACCCAGAGGATTCAGTTGTGTGGAGCTCACCGTGTCCCCGAGTCTCTCAATGCAGCGCTCTGCCTTTTGGTCCCAGTCTCTGTAGCTGAACACAAACACAGTCATGAACACATCCTGCTCTCTGGATGCTGCTGATGTTCACCTGAAGAATCATTTACCACATGGTTATCTTCTGGATGCTGTCGGTCTCTTCATCATCATCCTCGCTGTTGCCCCCCCTTCCCTCCAGTCGGCAGGTCAGACTGCAGCTATCCATCATGATGTGAGAGAAGCAGCTGAGTCCTGGCTCTGAAACACAAACGTGACGAGGAAAAAAAATATTCTGACCTGTTACAGAGTTTGAGTTGTTCTTCTTCTTTATCCTGACGGATCAAATCTGTGTTCAGACGCTTAACTCAAATTCATACTCTGCTAAAAGTAACTGCTCGTCTCCTCTTTACACCTCTATAAACCTAACAACAGCAACACAACAGCAACAACACAACAGCAACCACATGGCAACAACATGACAACACGACAGCAAAAACATCTGTACAGTGTGTGCCGATAACGACATGAGCTATTCAGATGCAAACTGTCTTTCAACCAGGCTGTACACATGTTCATTTCTGATGTAAAGTCGGACATTTTAATTTAGGAAAGGGACGAGGATTTATTAGCTTTTACAGACAGCCTCTAGTGGACACTGGAGGAACTGCAGCTGTAAAGTTGGACATTTTAACATGGGGCTCTATGGGGACTGACTCACTGCAGGACACAGACTCTAGTGGACCCTGGAGGAACTGCAGCTGTAAACATGTTTATTTTAACATGGGGCTCTATGGGGACTGACTCACTGCAGGAGACAGACTCTAGTGGACACTGGAGGAACTGCAGCTGTAAACATGTTTATTTTAACATGGGGCTCTATGGGGACTGACTCACTGCAGGAGACAGACTCTAGTGGACACTGGAGGAACTGCAGCTGTAAAGTTGGACATTTTAACATGGGGCTCTATGGGGACTGACTCACTGCAGGAGACAAACTCTAGTGGACACTGGAGGAACTGCAGCTGTAAAGTTAGACATTTTAACATGGAGCTCTATGGGGACTGACTCACTGCAGGAGACAGCCTCTAGTGGACACGGGAGGAACTGCAGCTGTAAAGTTGGACATTTTAACATGGGGCTCTATGGTGACTGACTCACTGCAGGAGACAGCCTCTAGTGCACACTGGAGGAACTGCAGTTGTAAAGTTAGACATTTTAACATGGGGCTCTATGGGGACTGACTCACTGCAGGAGACAGCCTCTAGTGGACACTGGAGGAACTGCAGCTGTAAAGTTAGACATTTTAACATGGAGCTCTATGGGGACTGACTCACTGCAGGAGACAGACTCTAGTGGACACTGGAGGAACTGCAGTTTTTTTTGCACTTCTGCATTTGGTCATTTTTCAACACCAGAGGTTGCGGCTTGGTTTGCCGCCAAATAAATTTTCTCCCTAAAGGGCTTTCATCCAAAATTCTGTTCCCTGAGCGCCCCCTGCAGGCCTGGAGCATTTAGATTGTAATCTCTGGATGTGCAGCATAGACTGTATAAAGAATGGACAGCCTCAAGTGAAACCAAACCATGTAGAGCTCCCCCCTGCTGACTGACTGCAGTATACACCTCAAGACACGACAACAGCAACACAACAGCAACAGCACGACAACAACAACAACACGACAGCAACACACAGAAAGAGAACTCCACCTGCTCTGCATGAAATAAATATGATTTTGCTGTTTTTTATTTAACTAAAAAAAATGTTTTAATCAAATAAACACAAAGGATTAGCTGATACTAACTCTGTGGAGATAATTAATGAAAATGTTAATAAATTTAGAACAGAAGTTTAATTTGTTATCACCTGAGTCTGAGTCTCCACTCTGAGCCTCTCCCCCGACCAGGAGGAGGAACACAGTGACTCCACACACACACAACATCTCCTCCTCATCTGCTTCTCTGCTCTTCTCTGTTACTCCCCGTCGTTCCTCCTCACAGCAGCAGACTGAACTCCTTTCTCCTCAGCAGACTTGTGAAGCTGTAGACTCTCCAGCTGACAGCTCTCCTCTTCAGCTGGTGGGGAGGGAGGGATGGGGGTGTAAAGGCGGTAGGAAGAAGGAGGAGACAAACAGAGGAAGGAGGAGGTGCTGCTCTCTCGGTGGAGTTTTTTCTCACAGGATGTTCTGTAAATCTGAAACCATCCACAGCAGGCTGCAGCTCCTGTACAGAGAAGTCTTCTTCAACACAGCATGATGAAATTATGGTCCCATTTAGAGTTAGGGGCGGAGCAACCTGTGCCTGACAGGTCTATAGATCTATAATCAGAGAAACATCTCCCTACATGTTTCTGTCAGAATCTGTTGAACCTGCAGAGTCTTCCTCTCCGTCAATCTGCAACCATGAAGCAGAAAGTCAACCAACAACCTACAGACCACTTCCTGTCAACTCCTCTGCTCTGTTTTCAAACACAAGGTTATTTACTACAGCTCAGAGGGAACATCAGCTGACCCCGACACAACAACACCTCAACAACACCTCTGACACCTGTCAGTCAACAACAACAACACCTCTGACACCTGTCAGTCAACAACAACAACACCTCTGACACCTGTCAGTCAACAACAACAACACCTCTGACACCTGTCAGTCAACAACAACAACAACAGCTCTGACACCTGTCAGTCAACAACAACATCAACACCTCTGACACCTGTCAGTCAACAACAACAACACCTCTGACACCTGTCAGTCAACAACAACAACACCTCTGACACCTGTCAGTCAACAACAACAACAACAACAACAACAACATCAACACCTCTGACACCTGTCAGTCAACAACAACATCAATGGACAACAAGATGGTGCATTATATCACCAATTATGCTGACATGATCGAGTCAATCTCTTTCTCTGTATGAAAGAGGAGGGTCAGACTATAAAGCTGCTCGAGACCAAGAAGACGCTGCTGTTTATAATAAATGTGCTCCTGATGCCACATGTCCGATGTGTCCATAGGCAAGACACTTAACTCCAAGTTGCTCCCACTGCTTTGTTTGAATGTGTATGAATGGATGAGTTAATACTGACGGACTCTTTACTCGGCAGCCTCTACCATCAGTGTGTGAATGTGTAGGTGTGACCTGTGGTGGTAAACTACTTTGTGTCGTGAGAAGACTAGAAAAGAATTGAAGAAGCTCAAGACCATTTACCGTTTAACATAAAAGGTGAACATGAAGAAAATATGGAATCTTTAATGTGCTGAAAATATCTAATTTATTTTCTATGTTGGAGAATCAGGATGTTTTTTTAGCAACCAGTTTCTTTGCTTTGTCACCTTTTCTCATCAAAATCAGAAATTACAGTCGTCATTTGAGTTGATGGTTCTCCAGTGACATGTGTAGTACAGAGTCAAGTATGTGAAAGATTTTGTTGACGACGCAGCTCGTTGTGTTTGAGAATTCACTTTAAGAATATCTGAGGCCTCAGAGAGGAGACTGCTGAGAAAAGGTCTTTATTCTGTCATCTATATGACAGATTCATGTTTCTGTGAAAGAGCAGAGTGTCTGTTGAAGATGTTCTGACTATATCCTGGAGAACAGACGAGCTGAGACGGGGCCGTGGGTGGAGATGGGTGGAGGCTTCGAGGTCTGTGGTTAACGCTCCGCTCTGTGCACTCAGGAGATACGGTGAACATCATGGAGCAACATGGAGAACTGAAGAAGACTGAGACATGCTTCAAACACTGTGTGCCTCCCCAGCACACACACGTACAAACACACTAACCACAGACCTGAGGTCTGTATCTCTGACAGCATCATAAACATGTTCATTTGTGGTTTTTATGTTTCTGCAGGAATCTGTCGAGTCTGTTTACACTGAGAGCACACACACACACACACACAAACAGACACACAAACAGACAAACACATACACACACACAGACACACACATACACACACTGCAGGATGCTGCTGCGGCGGTGCTGCAGTGTGGATCTATCAGCCTACATATGAAGGAGTCTGTAAAACCACGTGCAGAGGGAGATATGGTTGTGCACGCGTTGACGTCAGACGATGTAACTCGACGTCATCCTGGATTATGAGCATCTCGCTTTTAGAACTTCTGACCGACAACTCCACTTCATCAAAGACGCTGCACCGCTGTTCACCTATTGTCTTAGATGAAGGACTCTTTTTATATAAACAGCATGCCAGGTTTATTTAGTGAACATTAGATCGCCGTTTACCCGCCAGATAACGTTGGGTCTGCACTAGAGAGCGAGCTGCTCATAACGTCTGAACTCTCGGTGTTTGTTATATTCATCGTCATCAAATAGAACTCTCAACGCCTCCAACAGAAACCAGGGTCCCTGACCAGGGTCAGGTCAGGGTCTATGACCAGAGGAGAGCCGGTCATCAGAGTACAAAATGTTTATCGCTGCGATAATCATGAAACCTAAAACTAATGAGCCAAACATGTGAAGGTCACACTGTGAGACTTTGAGACAAGTCTCTGTTGTCGTGATGCTGCGTGCTGTGAACCGAGGCTTCTCATTGGTCAATAAAAACTGTGGGTCAGTTGGTAGAGTCATCGCCTCTCAACCGGAAGGTCAAGGGTTCGATCCCCAGCTGAGCAACAAGACACTTAACCCTGCTGCTTCAGTGGCGGTGTATGAATGGATTACTGTTGTACTTACTCTCTGTTGTACGTCGCTTTGGATAAAAGCGTCTGCTGAGTGAATTGTAACATTGTAAAAGCTCTTTGATATACAGTCTGATGTTATTTCTATGAATGTGGAGTCAGCCGAGCAGGTGCTAATGAAGTGTCTCCTCAGCCTTGGGACTCGCTGCCTCAACCTCCTAGGCTTCCAGCAGTTTGTGGGTGACAGTGAGATGACCTCTGACCTTATCGACGAGGGCAAGGAGCTGATCCGACGAGGTAACGACAGAACGATAGAAATGGTGCTGTCTTTAAACGATGCAGGTTAAACTAATCATCAGCGATGTCTTTACAGAGAAAAGGAAACGGCAAAGGGTAGAAGACGGAGAGAACAGACGCAGAGTGAGTAACCAATCAAATCACTCCTCCAGACCACTGCTCACTTCACATTTGTCTGTTTTTAACCACATTACGAGGACCGCTGGGGGCCCCTCATGGTTAGTTTGCACGCCTCATGTACAGAGGCTGATCACGTCACTCCACACGCTCTTTCTCGCTCTGATTTCTCTGTGTGTGTGTGTGTGTGTGTGTGTGTGTGTGTGTGTGTGTGTGTGTGTGTGTGTGTGTGTGTGTGTGTGTGTGTGTGTGTAGGAATGGAAGGAGCGTTACGGAAACTCGAGGGATGACTACACGGCGAGGAACAGGAGCAGCCATGAGATGAAGGAGACCAGTTACTCAGACACCGTGACGCCCAGAGACAACAGACGTAAGTGCTCCCCTCTGTGGAGATTCTAAAAGACTCCCGCTGACCGATGATAACCAGCTGCTGTGGTGTGTTGAACAGAAGCTAAATACTCTCGCTCTGGAGGCCGGGCGGAGAGGGACTGCATGGAGCTGCTGCAGGACGCTGAACCTTTAGACTTCAACGCTGAGTCTCTGACAGATGACGCTCTGGACTCAGAGTCTGGGAGGTAAACACGGCACACTTTGATTCCTAAGGAAATGTGACTGATGATCCAAGAGATCAAAGAACCATGTAGCCCAATACTCCACGATTCATTGGTCAGAGTCTCAGTCGACTGCCAGACGAGCACAGGGACCGTTCCATTCCAGCTCTGTGGGGATGGTCAAAAACCAAGGAATCAGAATGGGCTGGTTAGTTGGGGAAACTTATTAAAACTGTTTGACATGTTTGGCATAAATGAAGACACACCTCCCGTGTCGTCGTCATAGCGATTCTCTCAGATTGAACCCTTGAACACTTTTTCTGTGACGCTCTGTTGTGTTTTTATTTCCATCCAGTCATGATGAGTAATGAAGCTCTCTCTTCTTTACTGTGTCGCTCTTTCAGACATGCAGGAGGACGATATCTGTCCATGTCTTCGTCACGCAGCCGAATATTTGACGACGTCTGACGGGAAGAAGAAAGGTGAAGGGGAGCCATAAACTGGAACACGCATTAAAGTTTGAAGGAAGTGAATGTACCACATGACCTCTGTTTCCCAGGATGCACGGTAACTTAACTGCAGGTGGCCTGTGTCAGTGACGGTCTGTCCCCCTAAATGATCCATAATCCTGTCCATGAAGGCTAAAGGAATATTGAAGCTAACCATGTTACACTAACTGTCATGGAGACACGTCTAAGTCCTGCATGTCAGGCAGGGGGCGCTCTAACCGTCTGAGCATGCTCTAAAAGAGAGTCACACCCTGCTGCATGTCGTCACTTTCATCACAGGTCACATGAAGGAAGGTCATCTATATTTGTGAATGTATTTCTCTTTTTGTCATGTTTGAAACGCAATCACTCTCAGCTTCACTTCATCTACAGCTCACAGCAAGAGAACCCGAGTTGTCCGTCATGTTAAATCAAAACGACTGCTCGGGGACTCTCCCCGCTGACGCTCTTCTGCGGCGTTCACACGGGACACTCCGCCCCCTCATCTCCTCAAACAGTCCGACTGAGTGTGAAGCCATAAACGGTTTTAAGAGAAGTTCACTTCCTGCCCTGATGGTTAGAAAATGTTCCCTCTTGGCTTGTCACAATACCAGAATTTAAAACTGTGATGAGATTCTAGTAAAAATCAAACATTGATACCTGTTACCACGGCAACACAAATAGAAATCTTAAGCCCTGTTCAGAGCACCGTTTCCAGCCGCCATATATACACGGCTGTGACGTTTCTTCTCCAATCTAAATGTTGTGGAGTCGTAATGACAGCTGTGTTTAGTTTCGGTCTAGTGAAAACAAAGTCTGATGAAGGCCGATGACATCAGATATTTGGTAACTTTCTTTTTATATTCATTTAGGGAAACTCCTGCACTGGATGACTTCCTGTCCTGATCGCCTTCCTATGAAACAGATGTAGTTTGAATTAAAGCTCAGGGGCGCCTAAAGTTTAGGGTTCTGCTGCGGGCCCCATGTTGGGAGGCTGTTCTCATTGCAGTGTCCCTGGGTGTCCCACACAGTGTTAAATGTGTTAGCATGTAGCATTAGCTCTGGGACTGATGACGAGCTCCTGCTGAACCAGTGGAGCTGTACGATTACTGTCACACTTTACTCACCTGCCCGGCCTTTAACTCTATGAAATGATCCCGCCTTTATTTGTGCCTTTATTTGCAAACAAAACTCGTGCACAGCAAAGACAGAAAGACTAATAATTTGTGTGTGTGTGTGTGTGTGGGGGGGGGGGGCTCTCTTTCTTTATGCTGCTAACAGGCTAAACAAGCTAGTTAGTGTCAGAGGAGAGGAACCAATCAGGAGCTGGTGACAGAGAAGAAGACGCTGTGCTTTTATGTCATATGTGAATATGTGAAGTTCTGATTGTAGTTAATTTAAAGTATAAATGTTTGTTATTTGACATTCCTGGTGTTCATCTTATTAACCATGAGTTTATGTCTGTATGAAGCATCTTTTGTTGTCACATGATTTCAGAGAAACGTTTATTAGATTCAAAGAAACAGAAAGTAAGAAAGAGAGGAGAGTTCACTTTGATAAGCTTATTAGTTATTGCTTTGATAAAACGTTTACAACACAGGTCAGACAAACTGTCATCGGCACTTTATAGCACTTCCTGAAGAGAAGCTGTGGCCATTGGTTCCAATCTGACCTCGACCTCCTGACCCTCTCCTGCGTGTTGTCCTCCACTCTCTCTCTCTCACTTCCTGTTTCTCTCCTGCTGTCCGATCTTAAAAGACAAAAAGGCCAAAAAAATAGAACTTCAAACAAACAAACAAACAGACGTGGTAAAGATAAGAATTGTTGATAACCTCGGCTGCTTCAGCGCCACATATTGGTCAAAGAAATCCAAACGTCTTCCCTCAGAAATCTCGTCCACACACGTCCACACTTCAGGCTCCAATAACTCCAAGTGTGAAGAGAATATGACACGTTTCAACATAAGCTCCGCCCACAGCGCAAGAGCAAACGTATCACACATTTAGAAGAACCGTGTTGGAAATATAAAATATAACCAGACCCGGCGTGGTCCAGAAATATGTTGAAGTAGTGAAAACCTCAAGGGGCGGGGCTTAAATGATCTTTTTCTTCTTCTTGTGATAATCCTTGGCTTCACCTTGCAGACCCTCTCACCTACAGTCTGTGGTAACAACAGGTAACACACATGTCTGGCCCTTTAAATGTGTTAGCATGTAGCATTAGCTCAGGGGCTGATGACGAGCTCCTGCTGGCAGGTTCAGTGACCACGTTCACATCACGCCGCCCTCGGTCCATATCATGTCTGTGTATATAATGTATGATATCTTTTTGTATGAGTTGGACTAATTCATGATGCACAGAAGAATTCATGTGACTTTGTATTTATTGTATTTCCTGGTAACGGAGCGTCATCATCCTGCTGATTCTGATGTTTGATTATATTTATTCATGACGCCGCAGGTGGAGCGTAGATATCACGAGTTCTTTACTGTCGTGACTTATTTAGAGAAACAATGATGTATGTTTTAATCTGCTGCCAGTGTTGTGTCAATAAAAGAGATCCAATGTTACCGTGTGCGTCTGTTTATTAGCAGGAATACGGTAAATGTTCCCGATCACAGAGACGCCTCGTGCTCCGACGCTCCTAAAACGCCTGAGCCCATCTGTGGGGACAAACATCTGGAGGCTTAGCTAACGTAGCGCTCTCGATGTTGCTTTGCTCCTAGACGACTAGATGTCATAAAAAGGAGGTCAATCCTCCTACTTGATGTGATTGGCTGATTTGGCCAGAAATGACATTGACAAGCGCTGCGACTCGGCGTCTTGAGCTGAAAAGTTGACCTTTCTTTAACCTTTAAGCGCCCCTAAAAAGCGCTACAAAAACACATCGTGCAGAGAGGAGCGCTCACTAAGCGCACTGTACCAGAGGTAAACGATGGTTTCACTGGCGACGCTTTTGTAGCGACACATCTCCGTGTGATCGGGATCTAAGACTAAGCGTACAACTCCACTGCTTCAGGCGAGGACGAGGACTTGCCGCAACGATCCCATGATGCATTGCACAACTGCCTCTCTGGCTCTCTATGAAATGAATAGAAAGCATTGAGACCCTATCCGTCGTCTGAACCAGTGGAGCTGTACGATTACTGTCACACTTTACTCACCTGCCTGGCCTTTAACACTATGAAATGATCCCGCCTTTATTTGTGCCTTTATTTGCAAACAAAACTCGTGCACAGCAAAGACAGAAAGACTAATAATTTGTGTGTGTGTGTGTGTGTGTGGGGGGGGGGCTCTCTTTCTTTATGCTGCTAACAGGCTAAACAAGCTAGTTAGTGTCAGAGGAGAGGAACCAATCAGGAGCTGGTGACAGAGAAGAAGACGCTGTGCTTTTATGTCATACAGTGAATATGTGAAGTTCTGATTGTAGTTAATTTAAAGTATAAATGTTTGTTATTTGACATTCCTGGTGTTCATCTTATTAACCATGAGTTTATATCTGTATGAAGCATCTTTTGTTGTCACATGATTTCAGAGAAACGGGGACTTTACCCATGAGTGAAACAACGTAAAGTAAAAGGAGGGAGGAGTGTTCTCTGGGATAAGGTTTGTCTCTTCTGATTATTTTAGCTTTATATCTGTAGTAAGAATCTTTCGTACACAGAAACAGAAAGTCAGAGAGAGAGCAGAGTTCACTTTGAAAAGGTAATCTGTTTTTTGCTTTGATAAAGAAAAGATTATAATACAGGTCAGAAAAACTGTCATCTTCACTTTACAGCAGTTTCTGAAGAGATGTTGCGGTCTGTTTCTGAGAAATCATGTGACCTCAGAGCGACCTCCATCTGCTGATATAAACTCTGCTTGTTCTCCTCGACATCAGAGCGCTTCATGACCTTGAGAGCTGAACGTCAGGTGAGAACACTTAAAGACTTAACAGCAGATTGAAATACATGGGGAAATGTATGAGACAAACTGTTACCGTTACATTGATATGAAACGACATTAAGAGAAATGTTTTAAATGTTTGCATGAAGGGGGGAGGGGCTGAGCAAGTTTCTTCACTCGTTAATATCAAGATGGCAGCTGACGGGACGCCGAGGTCACTCACTTGTTTTTTTTTTATTTCAGAGAACCAATCAGCTGCTCCCTCCTCCAGCTCCTCGGAAGACGTAACCATGGCAACGTGAGTAATATATTTACTTAACAACACAAATGAGGTGTTTCAGTGTTTCAATACCTGTGATTGATTAGAGTGTCTTTGATGCAAGACAAGAAAAAGTTCAAGAAGTTGAACTCCACACAGAGCTGATCAGACTGCAGTGCGCAACGCTGAAGGATAAATTCAAGTCTGTTGGGTTGGAAACATTTGATGCCTGGCAGTGAAATACCTGAAGATAATTGTTTGAATCATTCACTCTGTGTGTTTGTGACAACATATTCATGTGAACAGTCTGTGATGAACCTTAACGAGTGCAAAATGTGCTGACACACACACACACACACACACACACACACACACACACACACACACACACACACACACAGACACAGACACAGACACACACACAGACACACACAGACACACAGAGACACACACACACAGACACACACACACACACACACACACACACACATACAGACACACACAAACACACAGACACACACACACACACACACACACACACAGTCTTATAAATATGAACTCCTTTTGTATAATTTAAAAAGTGATTTAGACAACAATGTCATTATCAATATCCTTTACATTGTAAGTTAAACTTAATACATTATAGAGGTAGCCTACAGTACAGGTAAAAAGTGTTTGTGTGTTTAGTTTATTATATGAGAGAAAGATGTTTTTAAGTCTCTGTGTGTTCTCTTCTCAGGACGTTGTAGTCTTTAGCTGTGAGCTTTGTTCAGTGTTAGTTTTGTTTCTGTCCTTTTTATTTCAGACGAGTTGTGTTAAGTTGCATTTGCTGTAAACACCCCATGTCCTGATATGGATGTTTCACATTAAAAGCACTTCAACTTCAGATAGGCCGGAGACTTTTATTTTGAAGAACTTGTCGGAAGTAGAAAGTGTTTATCATCGAACGAACACAGCTTTAGCGGAGGTGCACTTAGCGGTGATACTGTCGGGAGTCTACTGTGTTTACAGCCGCTCACTTTATCACGAGTCACCGACACAGCCCCCTTCTTTTAGTTATCCTGGACTTAAGACAGCGAGGCATCAGTTTAAACACACCTTTAGCTGTAATGAAGATGCTCATCCATGCTGCGGTCGGCTAAAGAGACACTGAGTCAAGTTGTTTCAGCCTGCAGCGGAGCACTGTGGTCTGAGCCTGCAGGACCAGCTGACTCATAAAGTCAACAAGCACAGGACCGGGACTCAATTTACGTTGTTTTCTGTCACTAATCCCTCTGTTAGCCTACGTTACTCTCATTACACACCACTGTGTGTGTTTAGGTAAAACAAACTCACTCAACGCTGCGCAAAAACAACCACATGTAGCGGTTAGCAGATGCTTTTTTCTAACCCTCGTCAGCATCGATTATGTCCTGTCCCTGCATCGATGCATTAATCGTCTAGTCTGCATCGCGATGCATCGATTAAATGATTAATTTCAACAGCCCTAACACCAGGGCCGGTCCGTGGCATAGGCAGTAGGCTATAGGCAGGGCCGTCGCAGGGGGGGTGTGAGGCCCTGCTCTTTGACGTGGATGCGCAATTGCGCATGAATAACAGTCACACGGACACAGCTATTCTAGTTCTACTGCACGCATAATCCCGCTGCAATACGTTTTTATCAAGTAGAATAATCATACATATAGTCTCAGCTATGACTTTTTTCTATTTATTTCAAAGGGGGAAAAAATCAACTGTGCACGAGTGGTTTTACATCAAGTCAGCTCAGTCACTTTATTTTTGACATCTTGACATTTCAAACAAGTAGGTTAAGCCACTTTTCATTCATTATATATGTTCATTTTCATTACAACTATACACAACTCGTTATTTACTGCACTGTAACTCTAACAAATGAGATGGACTCACCATGCGTAAATTGCGCAGAAGCTGATCATGTCAGAGTCTTGGCCGCAAACTCAGCAATAAGATCTTTATAATCCAGTTTGGATACAATGTCCTTTTCAGTTGATAGCATGGCAAGCCCGCACAGTCTGCCCTGTGACATGGAGGTGCGCAAATAGTTTTTTTCAGCTTTGAAAAGCTTCGCTCGCCCGATGCCACCGTTACTGGAAAAGTCAATAGGATCCTGAGCGCAATCTCACAATTAGGGAAAGTTCCTTCAATCCCTTTGAGGTAACAAAGTGTTTTAAGCGCTGTAGTTGTTCCCTTGTCTCTTGAAGTATCCTCAACTTCTCAAAGAGGTCCGGTGCATTTGTATCCTGAGATTCGGACGTGCTCAGAGCAACACTCAGTCTTGTGCACTGTCTTTGCAGGTCAGTCTTGCAGTTCACGCAGTTTGGTCAGATCAAAAATAAATCCAAACATGTTGCCAAACTCCTGCATTTGTTTAAAACGAGTATGGAGAGCAGTGAGGGCCTGGTCCACTATCACATTAAAATAATTATTCGCCCAGCTGCGCACCTCCAAGATTTTGTAACAACGCGGACGGGTTTGCGCCGACATCTTTGCAATGATTGGCTACAGGGCCCGGAAGTACTTTATTCAGGCTGTGTTGAGCGCTCGCGCTCTGACTGCAGTCAGTGTGAAATGTCTCGACGTTCGCAGGGGCTGTGCTCACCGGCCGCAAGCAGCATGAATCAGGTTCTCATGACAGCTTGCGTCGCAGATTTACCCCTCGCCCCCTTCCTCCAAATGTTTTTATTGCAGATCTAAATGAATCACACAAATGACATATTTGGGATCCGAAACGGCGAATTTCGCCGAAAGGTGACAAGTTCGCACCCCTGTTAAGTGGATGAATTGGATGAATATTGTCTTTGGTGCTCAAACTGGCTATAATTAAAGGGGCAACGGCTGAAATCTTGCCTAGGGCACCAAAATGGTTAGGGCCAGCTCTGCCTAACACACACAGACAAACACACATCTAAAGGCTCTCTCTTGAATAAAGAAATCACACGTGCGTGCGTTCGTCAGCAGGTCAGGTTGTGTGTAGTACTTAGACAACGCACGTGCGTGTGTACGCGTGGATAAAAGCGTCTGCTAAGAATTGTAACATTGTATTATTAACTAATCTAAGCAAACAAGATATCTACAAACAAACCGCGTGGCACGTGTGAGTGTGGTCATGAGTGCTGATGTGTGTGTGTGGATGAGAGAGAGAGAGAGAGAGGGCACCATGAGAGGTAGGTACAAATGGTGGATAAAGACAAAGGAAGCCGTGTGGTTGAAATGCGTGTCTCCCCTGAAGCTGGAAGCTTGTGAAGAGAGGTATCCTCTGGTGTAGAAAGACCACACATGAAGAGATCGAACAGTGAGAGGCGACTGCTTTTATCGACCCTACACTTACACTACATGTGTTAGATGTTGCAGAGCATGCTGGGAGTGTTTCTGCAGGGTAGGGCATGCTGGGAGTAAGAGTCATTTAAAGTACTCATACTCAGGCTTCTGTGGCTACAGGCCGGACCTTTGTTTCAACACATGGAGATCCCAACAGAACATTATTATTATTAAGTAATAATTAGAATGGTGGCAACAATAACACAGCAATACAAAAATAATAATAATAATAAAATAAATAATATGATATAATATAATAGGTCTGTATAATTTATAATAACATTCGTAACAAATATGATAATAAAGAAAAAGAAGAAAAAAATAATTGTTTTGTGTATTTACGTAATGGCTTTGAACAGGAAAATAAATACATTAATTAATAGATAGAAAATAAATGTTTCTGTATATATAATAGGTCAGTACAATTTATAATAACAATAGTAAAAAAAACAAATAAAATAAAATTTTTAGAAATCAATCGATATAAATGAGTGAGTGATTGTGTTTGTTATCCAAAATCCATCAGCACCTCCATTTTCTCAGGAGACTAAGAGTGTTCGGTGTTTGTAAAAACATTATGTTAATCTTTTACAGAGCAACAATAGAGTCCATTTTACGGTATGGCGTCATCAGCTGGTTTGGTGTTTTAACAGTAAAATCTAAAGCTCAGATCCTCAGCCTGGTTAAGACAGCAGGCAAGATCATGGGAATGCGTGCCCCTCTTACCCCCCCAGGATCTTTTGAGCAGGCCACAATCACACAGGCCAACAGCATCTTATCGGACACTTCCCATGTATTGCAATCCGAATATGTTTCGCTGAACTCAGGGAGAAGGTACAGGGATCCTCTGTGCAAACACAACCGCTTCAAAAACTCACTAGTCCCTTTTTCAGTTAAGCTCATTAATGAGCAAAAAATAGAGGATGAACGGAAAACCAGGAGGCCCCCAATGTACCGATAACTGTAGACATGTATGTATGTGTGAAACTGTCTGGAGTGGCATGTGTACATGTGTGCATGCGCCTGTGACTGTAGGAGTGAGTGTGTGTATGTGCGTGTGTGTATGGATACGTAAGCAGACGCTTGGGTGAACTGTAGCACGGATAAGCTAAATGTTTTTGCACATTTGTAATTACTGTTTTTATATTGTTTTCGATGTATTGTACATGCAGCAATTTCCCAGCATCCGAGACAAATTTCTCCCTCGGGAGACGAATAAAGAAACTTTGAACCTTGAACCTTGTTATTTGGTGAAAAAGTTTGAAGAAGGGGGCGAGATAATTAAATAAAAATATGTTTTATGTCACAAAAGAAAAACGAAAATAATTAATAATAGAGAAATGAAAAAGTTACAATATGTAATACATACATCAGCTTGTTCAGTTCAGTGGTAGCGGCAGGAACAAAGCTGTGTAAGTACTGCTCTGATCTGCAGCGTGGGACTGAACACCTCCGTCCAGAGGGCAGAAGCTGAATGTCACTGTGCACAGGGTGGGAATCATCAATTAAAATGGAAGCTATCCGCTGCAACTGTCTCGTTAGCTCAGTAGAACATCATTATGGTTCGGTCAATGTGAAAGTACGACAGTTACCTACAAATGCTGATGAGCCTTTTTCAGTTTAGAATCAATGATGATGATTTGACTTTGATTACAATGGCATCGGATTACTATGTTGTCTTTCTATTTTAACGACTTTACGGGGTCTTTGAGTCCATGAAAAGCGCTCAGTCTGTAGCCTCCATAAGGGGAACTTAAAGGTGTTTAGGTCTTCTTATATTCAGTCAATGTTGAGAGCCAGTCTTTAGTCATCATTCAGTCCAGGAAGTTGCAATGTTGCGATCGCAACAATTAACGCAAATTCAACCAATCCCCGTGAATTCTGGGAGACCTTGCAATTTTGTCCAATCACCACAACTTTTCTGCAAATTTGATAAATTTAAATGGTTTCCCCCACGAGTTTCACCAATCATAGCAGTCCCCCGCGAAAAAGGCGAGCTATACGTCACCGAAGTTTGGTGACCATTGACCAAACTCACTTCCTTGTTTATATGCAGACATGTCCGACACAAACGTCACACATTTACCTTCAAAAATTACAGCTAAGAACCGTGCAAGGCAACTCCCTGATGTTCTGCACGGAAGCAGGGGTTAACTGTTTTGCACCCCGTGCAGCGTTGTGGTGGAACACAAACAAAAGTCATCGATCTACCTCAAAACACACAGGAGGAGAATGACTGAGACGCACGGACAACATACAAGACAAATTACAGTGACAGAGGCTGCTGCATCCAGATCGATTACAGCTGCTGAAAGAAGCAAGGCAAGTTAAATAAATAAGCATGGACAGAGCTTGTCTGATTGGATTGAACAACTAGGAGCACCAACAGAGGGGATTGTGTTATACAGCACAGATCCTCTGAGTTTGGCAAATCAGCCGTCTCTATTAGAGCTACACATTTTTGGAACTCCATACAGAGTAAAATCAGAGAGTGCTGTAGCTTTGCTGAATTTAAATTTAAAATCAAATCGTGGCTCAAATCAACTCAAACATGTCCTCATCACACATAAACACATTTTCATGAACTCTGTTTGATAATGCTGTAGTGTATTGATACAGAATGTTATTATGGCTTTGTTGTTGTGGTGTATTGGAGATATATGTTGCGGTATAGCAGTTTTTTTTTGTGTCGTTTTTAAAGTCAAGTGCTCTTAGCCTATTATTGTTTTAATATAATGTGTGGACTGGTGTAATGCCATTGTTCAGTGGTTGTGTACTGTCTTACTGTTGTGAAGATGTTGTTAGTGTATGTTTTGTTTCTTCACAGAGACATTGTCTCTGTCTCCTGCCCAGGGAACACAGAAGTAAATTAGCTTATAGCTAACTCTGGTACAGCTAATTGGCTGTACACCATCCCTTTCAAAATAAACAAATAAATAAATAAAAAATAAATAAGATTGCTGTTAGGTGGGGTTTGTTTCTAATGTATAAATCTAATGAAGAAATCGTGAAACAGACTGGAGATTATAACACCATTTAATCGGCCGAGGTCAGACAACTTCATCAAACAAGCATGCTTCCAAATCACTTGACTGACAAAGTGCTGACAAAGTAACAGTGTTCACAGTGCTGCTTATATTCTGTCAAAAAGGTGCAACCCACAAATTCCTTTCTATTTGGGTGCATCACCATAAACAATAAAGATGACATGACACTGATTTGTATACGTATCAGATGTAGACTCTCTGTCTAGCAAACAGTTGCTGACAACATATAGTTGGCTCCTCTCCATATATAGATCTGCTAATACTTAGGTGCTTCACCCATATAAGGTTACAGCTTCAGACACCTAAAGGTAGGAGTGTTAACAGGTGGTAGACAGACTTGAATAATACATTTCACGAAGTTACCAAGATGAATGAATTTCATGAAAATTCGTCCTAACAATTGCGATACAAACAGTGTGTGTGTGTGTGTGTGTGTGTGTGTGTGTGTGTGTGTGTGTGTGTGTGTGTGTGTGTGTGTGTGAGGGTGTGTGTGTGTGTGTGTGTGTGTGTGTGTGTGTGTGTGTGTCTGTGTGTATGTGTGTGTGTGTGTGTGTGTGTGTGTGTGAGGGTGTGTGTGTGTGTCTGTGTGTATGTGTGTGTGTGTGTCTGTGTGTGTGTGTGTGAGGGTGTGTGTGTGTGTGTGTGTGAGTGTGTGTGTGTGTGTGTGTGTGTGAGGGTGTGTGTGTGTCTGTGTGTATGTGTGTGTGTGTGTGTGTGTGTGTGTAAGGGTGTGAGTGTGTGTGTGTGTGAGAGAGGGAGAAGTCACTGAGTGAGGGAGAGGAATATGTAACTTCACAAAGTTAAAGGCTCTGCTCAGGTTAAAAATATAGGCATCACTCAATCACATCGAAGTGTGTGTAAGAAAATCGTTTGCTTGCTGCCACAATTTAATTGCAAAAAAACGTCTAAAAACATTGCAACTTGCATTGATATATTCTTTAAAAGCTGCCGCGAAATCAATCATTTTAGGCCGCAACAATCCCCCAAGAAGTCCAGAAACTCCTAGAGGGACTGATCATTCAGACTTATTGTTGTGAAAAATGAATAATTGACCCTGATTGTCATTTGGTTTGAAACTGCTTAAAGTGCTTTCATTAAAAGATCCCGTTTGGATCTCTTTGTAGATGTTTTCTGGTTTTTGATCGAATGTCTTCACCTTTCAACAGAAACACCACAACCAGGTATGACCACATCACCTGCAAACACCTGATCCGTTCAGGGTCTCCTACCATCTACCAGCTGACACCAAAGAAAGAGAAAATAGGAACCATAAAAAGAATGACTCTTGGTGAAAAAAATCCAACTAAAGTACACAAAACTATCCTGCTTGTGGGAGAAACAGCAACGGGAAAATCTGCTCTGATCAACGCTCTGGTCAACTACGCCATGGGAGTGACGTGGGAGGACAATGTCTGGTTTGAGATCGTAGAGGACGAGAAGAAGCAATCACAGAGTCAAGAGGAGGACGAAGAAAGTGACGTGAAATGTGAAAGTCAGACATCAGATGTGATCGTGTACGAGATCTTTGGCTTTGAAGATAAAACTCTGCCCTACTCTCTGACCATCATTGATACTCCTGGATACGGAGATACCAGAGGGCCTGAATATGATGACGCCATCTCTACTAGATTAACTGACGTGTTCCGCTCACAGTACGGAGTTCATGAGATGAATGTCGTGGGTCTGGTGCTGAAAGCGAGCGAGAATCGACTAAGTGACCGTCTGTGGTACGTCTTTGATTCAGTGGCGTCTCTGTTTGGAAAAGACATGGAGAACAACATCGTCTCTCTCATCACACACTCAGATGGAGGGAAACCTAAAAATGTTCTTGACGCTCTCAATGCTGCAAACATCAAGTGTGCCAAAGATGAAAATAATCAGCCTGTTCACTTCCTGTTTAATAACCTACAAAACAAAGAGAGAACAAAGAAAATTAGAGTCCTTATGAATGCATATGAAACAACAATGGAAGGAATGTCAGAGTTTGGAGAGTTTCTGCTTAGAAAAGCTCCACAACAGCTGAAGACAACTGTGGCCATTCTGGATGAACGCATCAGACTGACAGCAAGCATCCAAAACCTGCAAGAGCGAGTTGAGCTGATTGAATTTAAACAGAAAGAAATCCAACAGACTCAGGAAGCCCTGAGGAAACATGAACAAGAGATGAAGAGCAATGAGAACTTCACTGTAGAAGTTGACGAGCCCTACAAAGTTAAAGAACCTATCAGCGGTGGAATGTGGGCATGGGTGTTTTATGAAGGAGCTGTGTCCTGTAATGTCTGTGAGGAGAACTGTCACTACCCTGGATGCACAGTGGCCTGGTCTCCCAAAGGCTGTGAGGTGATGAAAAAAGGTTGCTGCACTGTATGTACAGGGAAATGCCCTGTGTCAGATCATGTGAAGGAAAAGTGGAGATATGTGACTAAGACAAGGAAAGGGACAAAAACTCTTCAAGATGTGAAAAAGAAGTTTGACCAAAGTAAAGCAGACTGCAAAGAGAAAACAAGCCTTCTGGAAACAGTTCAGAAGAAAATGGACGAACTTAAAAAGGACAAAGATCGGTGGTTGGAAGAGTCCTTCCAGCATGTTGTCAAACTGGAGCAGATCGCTCTGAATGTTGATTCACTGTCCACTCATATCCATCTGGACTTCCTGATTGACAAGATGAAGGAGAACAGTGATAGGTTTGAAGAGGAGGTCCAGAAACTGGAGGAGATAAAGAGGCGAGTGAATAAAGGAACCAGAGCAGGGCTGGCGTACATGCTCGGTAGACTGACTGTATCTGCTGGCAGAGCATTTAAATACATGTTGGAGTAGGTGAACAAGATCATTTTGAGAAGCTCTGATTCAAACACGATGATCTTGTTGATACAAACTTTAAATCATAGCAAAGATTTAATCATGATATTAATGCTCCACATAAACTTAAATGTAATCACATTGTAAATTTAACATTTGTAATTCCTTCTAGTTTATTATTCACCAACAAAACTTTCATTCTTATATATATTAGAGAGAGAGAGAATCTGACTTAAAATATTTGATAGTGTCATCCAGCCCATTGAACTGTACGGTAGTGAAGTATGGGGTCCACTCAGACATCAGAGCTACACACGCTGGGACAATCAGCCAACAGAATCTTTACACGCTGAATTCTTCAGACTGCAGTGTCTGGCCAGAGGATCGTCTGGGATCAAAGGACTGGGCAGGTGAGCTCCTCATGAACCTGGTCCTGAACAGGTTGACTTGATCAGGAGGTCATCAGCCCAGATCAAATGTCTGAGGCTGATACTGTTAGTAAAGGTCGGATTAGAGAAGTCCTCCTCCACTGAGACGAAGATATCCACTTTTAATCTACAATCTTTTTCAAAACTGGTGCCTACATTACCCAGAATGCTCCTCTTCAGAATATTGGTTATTTTCTTCTGAAGTTGACATGAACGGCTCCTCACTTTGTATTTATCTGACAGCTGGAGATTTTTAATACGTTCTTTCATGCTGTGTTGGTGTGTTCTCAGGACCTTTAAAATAATGGATGATGATAAAAATCGCTCTCTGGACTTGAAGGAGTTTCTGAAAGGTTTGAACGATTATGGGATCCTGATCGAGAAACAGGAAGCAGCGGATATCTTTCAGCGCTTCGATCACGACGGGAACGGGACCATCGACTTTGACGAGTTCCTCATCACCCTGAGGGTAAAACTGCAGACCCCTCACTGTGCGGCCAGGAGCGGGAAACCTTCCCTCATTCAGCCACGGAGGTCATTATTCTGGATTCAGTTAGAATCCCATCGATGAATAAACATGTAGTCTTTCTGTTGTTGCAGCCGCAGATGTCTAAAGCCAGGAAGGAGGTGGTCATGCAGGCGTTTCGGAAGCTGGATAAGACGGGAGACGGCGTGATCACCATCGAAGACCTGAGGGGGGTTTATAACGCCAAGTACCACCCCAAGTATCAGAACGGGGAGTGGACGGAGGATCAGGTGTTCAGGAAGTTCTTGGACAGCTTCGACTCGCCGTGCGACAAAGACGGAAAGGTAACAGACGCAGTTAGCCTGATGAGCGTGTTACTGTCGGAGACTTAAAGACGATGACCCGAGCGTGACAGGAGTGTTATTCAAACCTGGGGGGTAAAGTTCATATTCTGTGTGTTCTGTGTTTGAATGCACGAGCGGTTTCTTTCCCCTCCTCCCATTTATGAAGTGCATGCAGGTATTAGTAACACGCACATGCGTCTTTATTCACAGGCGTGTGTGATTTAGTGGTTAGCAGACGTTTTATTAGTATTTCCAACAGTTTAGAGAACGTTAAAACAGTGGTATGAAAAGGATTGAGAAAAACTGTTCTCACCCACTAACGCATCAGCACCCACCATCAGGTCCCCTCCAATCACACATCAGCATGCAGCACCAGCTCCCGGCCAATGAGTGACAGGCAATGAGCGCTCATCCAATCACACAGCAGGTACCTGCAACACAGCACAGGAGGGACAGGCGCAACATAGGAAAAAGCAAAGCCATGAAGGCGGATTTAATAATAATAAAAATATATAATCCCAGACTTTACACTGAACTTGTGACTCACAGTCATCCATGTCACCTCCCAGACTCTGTTCAGTGTAGACGTGAAGAAGTGTGAAAGGTTTGTCATGTTCCTCGCCTTTAAAGGACTTACAGACACAGAGCACAGCTGTTCTGCGTCTAAGCTTCCCGTCCTGAGTGTTGCTGTCAGAGGACGGCCGAGCGAACACGATGTACTAATGCTAACGCTGGTGTTCCTCTCTGAAGGTGACTCAGGAAGAGTTCATGAATTACTATTCTGGTGTGAGTGCTTCCATCGACACAGACGTCTACTTTATCGTGATGATGAGGAGCGCCTGGAAACTCTGAGCGAGCTGTGTTCTGGTATAAAGTAGCTCATGTTGGCGGTGGTGGTGGTGGAGGGAGGTCGCAGCGGCTTCCCGTTTCTCTCTGTTTTCTTTGTTTCCTCAATGACTCTGTTCTCTGTTTCCTTCTGCTGGAGTGGAGCGATTATTTATGGGAATATTTGCACATTAAAGCAGTATGTGTAACTCTGACCCCTAGTGTTTAAAATGGGTACTGCAGTCTAAATTCTAAACATTGTAGAGAGCTGTCTCCCCTCGCCCCCTCCTCTCTAGAGTGGATGCTCACGCAGGTCACCATGTGGTGGACACTGAAGCTTCAGTGTTTATCCAGCTCTGCATCGGTCTGTAAACCTTTCTGTGTTCTAACCTCTCTCCATTTTTCAAAAGCATCTCCAATATTGATCCTAGTTTGAGCACGTTTCTGCTCGTGGAGCTTATTAGAAACATGCAGAGGCTTTTTAGGTCGGGTACAATCACTTCTATCTGAACCACTTCTCTTGCCCGCTTCCATCGCTGCAACACCTGTTGATTTGACCTGATAACTGCTCTCATATCTGACAAACCGAGGGGCGTCTGACTGAATGTCTGTTAACGATTCATCTTAGATTCATCAAAGTTTTATAGAGCTGAAATAAACTCGGTGTAGATGCTTTTTTATTGGAGGTGATTCATTAATAAAAAGGATTCCTCTTTTTGGACAGAAACCAGCTGCTTCATGGTCGATTAACTGCTCATCTCTCATGCTTTTACTTTGTAGTTTAACTCTCATGCTTTTAATTTGAAGTTGAACTCTCATGCTTTTACTTTGTAGTTTAACTCTCATGCTTTTACTTTGTAGTTCAACTCTCATGCTTTTACTTTGTAGTTCAACTCTCATGCTTTTACTTTGAAGTTCAGCTCTCATGCTTTTACTTTGTAGTTTAACTCTTATGCTTTTACTTTGTAGTTTAACTCTCATGCTTTTACTTTGTAGTTTAACTCTCATGATTTTACTTTGTAGTTTACCTCTTCAGACTCCTCCTTCTTGTCGTTTCGTTCTGAACGTTGTCATTCTGTTTGATGTAAAATTCTTTGTTCTGGCAGGTGACCAAAGAGGAGTTCATCAACTATTACTGCGGAGTCAGCGCCTCCATCGACAACGACGTCTACTTCATCCTCATGATGAGAAACGCCTGGAAGCTTTGAGTCTGATTAGACCTGTCCTACTTGCCCAACCACTCCTACCTGTCCTACCTGTCCTACCTGTCCTACCTATCCTACCTGTCCTACCTATCCTACCTGTCCTACCTGTCCTACCTGTCCTACCTATACTACCTGTCATACCTGTCCTGTAATAATGAGTATGATTTTATAATCCACATTGTTTTGCTTGATGTCAGGCTTTTGTCTTTATGTTGTAACTTTTTGTGCTTTTAGTTAAAAGTTTAACATTTTTAAGAGATTTTGAACATTTGTGATTTTAATGTTAGAAATATTTTTATTCTACATGTCTCTGAAGGTAAACACAAGGGGGCATTATGACTTTATAACATGTTTTTATTGATATGCATAAAACCACAGACTGTTAAAGTAAAAAGATTTGTACATTGGTTATATTTTAGAATATGTTGTAACAATAACTGAGATTAGAGCCACATTAAAAAGATACTTTGTGAACAAAGTCGTAACGCTACAAGAATAACTGTAAGATAAAAGCTGAATCACCTGAATAGTTGCAAAAAATTAAGATGTACTATTTTAGAAAAGCCTTTTATATTTAGGCTCTTTTCTCCAACTTGATCTCCTAATATGACGACTTTATTCTGAAATACAACACCTTATAAGGTCTTCATCCCTAAACTCTCAGGTAATGTGCCCTTTGCTCTGTGCTGTGCAGCAGGTACAATCAGACTTTAAAGTTTCTGATATCTTATAAAAGTTCATTCTGACCATTTCAGTCTGCGCAGAAATAAAAATCGAGGTGCATGTTGTGTTACATATTTTCAAAAGCAGCTTTGTGTTTGTCGTGTCCACAAACAGTCGGGTCAGGCCTCTGCAGCTCTGCAGCTCACCTGTAGCTCACCTGCAGCTCAGAGTGATGTCACAGTGCTGAGCAAAGGAAAGCAGCTGTTTCACAGACAGAAGAGTCTGAGTGTCCTGAATGAGGAGGTGTGCATCAGGAGTTTGTTTCCCTTCATACAGATTTGAGCAGCTTTGTTTGAAAGGACCTCGCTGGTGTTTTCAGATATTTTTAACTGTGGTCTGTATAAATCATGGACGTACTCAGTGCCGTCAAAAGGGGTTTTTGAAGAGAGGAGTTGTGAAGCTGAATGAAGGTGGTCACCATGTTGGCAATACTGACTCTACCTAACTTTAGATCAATCTAGACACAGGCAAAGCGACGGTTTGGCCGACTCCTTGCACACAGCCATGAGCGAGTAGGTGGACTACAACAACAATGGCGGAGTTCTGTTTGTGCTGATCGCTCTGTTGAATTAAGAAATGCTTCTCCAGCTAAGTGAAGATTAACCGCTCCATCATCAAATACTGAATCGACCTACATGCCTGAGAAGGAGCAGCCACAAGGCGATTAGCTGTTAGCTGTTTCTGTATGTTTACCCCTCACCGCTCTGAAGAGGGAAGAGTCTGGTTGTTTTATAAACCTCCTACTGTCTTAGAAGGTCGTACTGATTGGTCTAAAGTGCAGGATGAGGGGTGCTGGTGACGTGGTACTGTGTGTTCAAGGTCAGGTGCTGCATGTTGACCTTCAGAGTGTCTGAGGACGACACGTTCTGAGTCTGAGGATGAAGAGGAGACACAGACATGACCTCGATCGTCTCCGATAAAGAGAGAGAACTACAGAAGAAGAAGAAGAAGAAGAAGAGGAGGTGTTACCAAGGAGCTGCCTGCACTCCAGATCAGCAGCTGGAACATCTGGTTCTCTACTTTCAGGTACTCTCGGGGGTGCAGGGTCTGAATGTGGAACACGGCCTGGTAAGAGTCGAGGTCAAAGGTCACGCTGGACACCTGAGGGCTCCTTGGTTTCACTGCAGGGACAGGAAGAAGCAGATGACACAGTGAGTGGGGGGGGGGGCTACATTTTGCATTTTTTGCATTTTTCAACACCGGATGTTGCTGCTTGGTTTGGTGCCAAATAATTTTTATTTGTAAAAGACTTTCATCCAAAATCCTGTTCCCTGAGCGCCCCCTGCAGGCCTGGAGCACTTAGGTTGTAATCTCTGTATAAAGAATGGACAGCCTACAGTGAAGCCTTATATCAAATCTATGGGCCGCTGCAGCACATTTGGCCTTGTTGGACACCGTAGTTTCCCCTCTTGGCACCCAGACCTGAGTTCAAAGGTTTGTTCAAACAGTGTGAGAGAGCTGCGGTGTACCGATCTTCTTCAGTTCCACGGTGGTCGTAATCCGCCGTCCTCTCTTCAGGTAGACGGTCACATTGTAGTCACCCAGAGGATTCAGTTTTGTGGAGCTCACCGTGTCCCCGAGTGTCTCAATGCAGCGCTCTGCCTTTTGGCCCCAGTCTCTGTAGCTGAACACAAACACAGTCATGAACACATCCTGCTCTCTGGATGCTGCTGATGTTCACCTGAAGAATCATTTACCACATGGTTATCTTCTGGATGCTGTCGGTCTCTTCATCTTCATCATCCTCGCTGTTGCCCCCCCTTCCCTCCAGTCGGCAGGTCAGACTGCAGCTATCCATCATGATGTGAGAGAAGCAGCTGAGTCCTGGCTCTGAAACACAAACGTGACGAGGAAAAAAAATATTCTGACATGTTACAGAGTTTGAGTTGTTCTTCTTCTTTATCCTGACGGATCAAATCTGTGTTCAGACGCTTAACTCAAATTCATACTCTGCTAAAAGTAGCTGCTCGTCTCCTCTTTACACCTCTATAAACCTAACAACAGCAACACAACAGCAACAACACAACAGCAACCACATGGCAACAACATGACAACACGACAGCAAAAACATCTGTACAGTGTGTGCCGATAACGACATGAGCTATTCAGATGCAAACTGTCTTTCAACCAGGCTGTACACATGTTCATTTCTGATGTAAAGTCGGACATTTTAATTTAGGAAAGGGACGAGGATTTATTAGCTTTTACAGACAGCCTCTAGTGGACACTGGAGGAACTGCAGCTGTAAAGTTGGACATTTTAACATGGGGCTCTATGGGGACTGACTCACTGCAGGAGACAGACTCTAGTGGACCCTGGAGGAACTGCAGCTGTAAACATGTTTATTTTAACATGGGGCTCTATGGGGACTGACTCACTGCAGGAGACAGACTCTAGTGGACACGGGAGGAACTGCAGCTGTAAAGTTAGACATTTTAACATGGAGCTCTATGGGGACTGACTCACTGCAGGAGACAGCCTCTAGTGGACACGGGAGGAACTGCAGCTGTAAAGTTGGACATTTTAACATGGGGCTCTATGGTGACTGACTCACTGCAGGAGACAGCCTCTAGTGGACACGGGAGGAACTGCAGCTGTAAAGTTGGACATTTTAACATGGGGCTCTATGGTGACTGACTCACTGCAGGAGACAGCCTCTAGTGGACACGGGAGGAACTGCAGTTGTAAAGTTAGACATTTTAACATGGGGCTCTATGGGGACTGACTCACTGCAGGAGACAGACTCTAGTGGACACTGGAGGAACTGCAGTTTTTTTTGCACTTCTGCATTTGGTCATTTTTCAACACCAGAGGTTGCGGCTTGGTTTGCCGCCAAATAAATTTTCTCCCTAAAGGGCTTTCATCCAAAATTCTGTTCCCTGAGCGCCCCCTGCAGGCCTGGAGCATTTAGATTGTAATCTCTGGATGTGCAGCATAGACTGTATAAAGAATGGACAGCCTCAAGTGAAACCAAACCATGTAGAGCTCCCCCCTGCTGACTGACTGCAGTATACACCTCAAGACACGACAACAGCAACACAACAGCAACAACACGACAACAACAACAACACGACAGCAACACACAGAAAGAGAACTCCACCTGCTCTGCATGAAATAAATATGATTTTGCTGTTTTTTATTTAACTAAAAAAAATGTTTTAATCAAATAAACACAAAGGATTAGCTGATACTAACTCTGTGGAGATAATTAATGAAAATGTTAATAAATCAGAACAGAAGTTTAATTTGTTATCACCTGAGTCTGAGTCTCCACTCTGAGCCTCTCCCCCGACCAGGAGGAGGAACACAGTGACTCCACACACACACAACATCTCCTCCTCATCTGCTTCTCTGCTCTTCTCTGTTACTCCCCGTCGTTCCTCCTCACAGCAGCAGACTGAACTCCTTTCTCCTCAGCAGACTTGTGAAGCTGTAGACTCTCCAGCTGACAGCTCTCCTCTTCAGCTGGTGGGGAGGGAGGGATGGGGGTGTAAAGGCGGGAGGAAGAAGGAGGAGACAAGCAGAGGAAGGAGGAGGTGCTGCTCTCTCGGTGGAGTTTTTACTCACAGGATGTTCTGTAAATCTGAAACCATCCACAGCAGGCTGCAGCTCCTGTACAGAGAAGTCTTCTTCAACACAGCATGATGAAATTATTGTCCCATTTAGAGTTAGGGGCGGAGCAACCTGTGCCTGACAGGTAAATAGATCTATAATCAGAGAAACATCTCCCTACATGTTTCTGTCAGAATCTGTTGAACCTGCAGAGTCTTCCTCTCCGTCAATCTGCAACCATGAAGCAGAAAGTCAACCAACAACCTACAGACCACTTCCTGTCAACTCCTCTGCTCTGTTTTCAAACACAAGGTTATTTACTACAGCTCAGAGGGAACATCAGCTGACCCCGACACAACAACACCTCAACAACACCTCTGACACCTGTCAGTCAACAACAACAACACCTCTGACACCTGTCAGTCAACAACAACAACAACACCTCTGACACCTGTCAGTCAACAACAACAACATCTCTGACACCTGTCAGTCAACAACAACAACAACACCTCTGACACCTGTCAGTCAACAACATCAACACCTCTGACACCTGTCAGTCAACAACAACATCAACACCTCTGACACCTGTCAGTCAACAACAACAACACCTCTGACACCTGTCAGTCAACAACAACAACAACAACAACAACAACAACAACATCAACACCTCTGACACCTGTCAGTCAACAACAACAACAACAACAACAACAACAACAACAACAACATCAACACCTCTGACACCTGTCAGTCAACAACAACATCAATGGACAACAAGATGGTGCATTATATCACCAATTATGCTGACATGATCGAGTCAATCCCTTTGCCTGTATGAAAGAGGAGGGTCAGACTATAAAGCTGCTCGAGACCAAGAAGATGCTGCTGTTTATAATAAATGTGCTCCTGATGTGTCCATAGGCAAGACACTTAACTCCAAGTTGCTCCCACTGCTTTGTTTGAATGTGTATGAATGGATGAGTTAATACTGACGGACTCTTTACTCGGCAGCCTCTTCCATCAGTGTGTGAATGTGTAGGTGTGACCTGTGGTGGTAAACTACTTTGTGTCGTGAGAAGACTAGAAAAGAATTGAAGAAGCTCAAGACCATTTACCGTTTAACATAAAAGGTGAACATGAAGAAAATATGGAATCTTTAATGTGCTGAAAATATCTAATTTATTTTCTATGTTGGAGAATCAGGATGTTTTTTTAGCAACCAGTTTCTTTGCTTTGTCACCTTTTCTCATCAAAATCAGAAATTACAGTCGTCATTTGAGTTGATGGTTCTCCAGTGACATGTGTAGTACAGAGTCAAGTATGTGAAAGATTTTGTTGACGACGCAGCTCGTTGTGTTTGAGAATTCACTTTAAGAATATCTGAGGCCTCAGAGAGGAGACTGCTGAGAAAAGGTCTTTATTCTGTCATCTATATGACAGATTCATGTTTCTGTGAAAGAGCAGAGTGTCTGTTGAAGATGTTCTGACTATATCCTGGAGAACAGACGAGCTGAGACGGGGCCGTGGGTGGAGATGGGTGGAGGCTTCGAGGTCTGTGGTTAACGCTCCGCTCTGTGCACTCAGGAGATACGGTGAACATCATGGAGCAACATGGAGAACTGAAGAAGACTGAGACATGCTTCAAACACTGTGTGCCTCCCCAGCACACACACATACAAACACACTAACCACAGACCTGAGGTCTGTATCTCTGACAGCATCATAAACATGTTCATTTGTGGTTTTTATGTTTCTGCAGGAATCTGTCGAGTCTGTTTACACTGAGAGCACACACACACACACACACACACACACACACACAAACAGACACACAAACAGACAAACACATACACACACACAGACACACACATACACACACTGCAGGATGCTGCGGCGGTGCTGCAGTGTGGATCTATCAGCCTACATATGAAGGAGTCTGTAAAACCACGTGCAGAGGGAGATATGGTTGTGCACGCGTTGACGTCAGACGATGTAACTCGACGTCATCCTGGATTATGAGCATCTCGCTTTTAGAACTTCTGACCGACAACTCCACTTCATCAAAGACGCTGAGCCGCTGTTCACCTATTGTCTTAGATTAAGGACTCTTTTTATATAAACATCATGCCAGGTTTATTTAGTGAACATTAGATCGCCGTTTACCCGCCAGATAACGTTGGGTCTGCACTAGAGAGCGAGCTGCTCATAACGTCTGAACTCTCGGTGTTTATTATACTCATCGTCATCAAATAGAACTCTCAACGCCTCCAACAGAAACCAGGGTCCCTGACCAGGGTCAGGTCAGGGTCTATGACCAGAGGAGAGCCGGTCATCAGAGTACAAAATGTTTATCGCTGCGATAATCATGAAACCTAAAACTAATGAGCCAAACATGTGAAGGTCACACTGTGAGACTTTGAGACTTGGTCTCTGTCGTGATGCTGCGTGCTGTGAACCGAGGCTTCTCATTGGTCAATAAAAGCTGTGGGTCAGTTGGTAGAGTCATCGCCTCTCAACCGGAAGGTCAAGGGTTCAATCCCCAGCTGAGCAACAAGACACTTAACCCTGCTGCTTCAGTGGCGGTGTATGAATGGATTACTGTTGTACTTACTCTCTGTTGTACGTCGCTTTGGATAAAAGCGTCTGCTGAGTGAATTGTAACATTGTAAAAGCTCTTTGATATACAGTCTGATGTTATTTCTATGAATGTGGAGTCAGCCGAGCAGGTGCTAATGAAGTGTCTCCTCAGCCTTGGGACTCGCTGCCTCAACCTCCTAGGCTTCCAGCAGTTTGTGGGTGACAGTGAGATGACCTCTGACCTTATCGACGAGGGCAAGGAGCTGATCCGACGAGGTAACGACAGAACGATAGAAATGGTGCTGTCTTTAAACGATGCAGGTTAAACTAATCATCAGCGATGTCTTTACAGAGAAAAGGAAACGGCAAAGGGTAGAAGACGGAGAGAACAGACGCAGAGTGAGTAACCAATCAAATCACTCCTCCAGACCACTGCTCACTTCACATTTGTCTGTTTTTAACCACATTACGAGGACCGCTGGGGGCCCCTCATGGTTAGTTTGCATGCCTCATGTACAGAGGCTGATCACGTCACTCCACACGCTCTTTCTCGCTCTGATTTCTCTGTGTGTGTGTATGTGTGTGTGTGTGTGTGTGTGTGTGTGTGTGTGTGTGTGTGTGTGTGTGTGTGTGTGTGTGTGTGTGTGTGTGTAGGAATGGAAGGAGCGTTACGGAAACTCGAGGGATGACTACACGGCGAGGAACAGGAGCAGCCATGAGATGAAGGAGACCAGTTACTCAGACACCGTGACGCCCAGAGACAACAGACGTAAGTGCTCCCCTCTGTGGAGATTCTAAAAGACTCCCGCTGACCGATGATAACCAGCTGCTGTGGTGTGTTGAACAGAAGCTAAATACTCTCGCTCTGGAGGCCGGGCGGAGAGGGACTGCATGGAGCTGCTGCAGGACGCTGAACCTTTAGACTTCAACGCTGAGTCTCTGACAGATGACGCTCTGGACTCAGAGTCTGGGAGGTAAACACGGCACACTTTGATTCCTAAGGAAATGTGACTGATGATCCAAGAGTTCAAAGAACCATGTAGCCCAATACTCCACGATTCATTGGTCAGAGTCTCAGTCGACTGCCAGATGAGCACAGGGACCGTTCCATTCCAGCTCTGTGGGGGTGTTTCATGTCTAATGTTACGTAGAGTTGTCTGTTTGAAATCCTTCATTGCTCATTGTAGAGACAAAATCATTTATCCTTATCCAGTGGTTATGGACTTATTTTATCTCAGATATTCACCCATATTTTCAGATGTGTTCACCAGTCAAACACTAGCAGTTCTCTGTCACCAGCAGAGGGCGCTATTGGATTACAACATTCATCATCACTCTGCAGAGAGTCAGGCTCGTACACACTCATGAGTGTCTTCATTAAATATCTTTTCCTCAAGTGTTTGATAACTGAGGGATCAACACGATAAATGTTTCTATCTCTCTCTACAGTTTGATGATGAATCAAGTCCTATCATAGAATAAATAGTTATTCCAACATTAGAAGACAAAGAGATTAACCATGTGGATAAACTAAAATAAATCTGTGGATCAATGAGCACAAAAAAAAACAAACGTTTGACTGTCAGTCGACGATGGGCAAAAACCAAGGAATCAGATTGGGCTGGTTAGTTGGGGAAACTTATTAAAACTCTTTGACATGTTTGACATAAATGAAGACACACCTCCCGTGTCGTCGTCATAGCGATTCTCTCAGATTGAACCCTTGAACACTTTTTCTGTGACGCTCTGTTGTGTTTTTATTTCCATCCAGTCATGATGAGTAATGAAGCTCTCTCTTCTTTACTGTGTCGCTCTTTCAGACATGCAGGAGGACGATATCTGTCCATGTCTTCGTCACGCAGCCGAATATTTGACGACGTCTGACGGGAAGAAGAAAGGTGAAGGGGAGCCATAAACTGGAACACGTATTAAAGTTTGAAGGAAGTGAATGTACCACATGACCTCTGTTTCCCAGGATGCATGGTAACTTAACAGCAGGTGGCCTGTGTCAGTGACGGTCTGTCCCCCTAAATGATCCATAATCCTGTCCATGAAGGCTTAAGGAATATTGAAGCTAACCATGTTACACTAACTGTCATGGAGACACGTCTAAGACCCCTGCATGTCAGGCAGGGGGCGCTCTAACCGTCTGAGCATGCTCTAAAAGAGAGTCACACCCTGCTGCATGTCGTCACTTTCATCACAGGTCATATGAAGGGAGGTCATCTATATTTGTGAATGTATTTCTCTTTTTGTCATGTTTGAAACACGATCACTCTCAGCTTCACTTCATCTACAGCTCACAGCAAGAGAACCCGAGTTGTCCGTCATGTTAAATCAAAACGACTGCTCGGGGACTCTCCCCGCTGACGCTCTTCTGCGGCGTTCACACGGGACACTCCGCCCCCTCATCTCCTCAAACAGTCCGACTGAGTGTGAAGCCATAAACGGTTTTAAGAGAAGTTCACTTCCTGCCCTGATGGTTAGAAAATGTTCCCTCTTGGCTTGTCACAATACCAGAATTTAAAACTGTGATGAGATTCTAGTAAAAATCAAACATTGATACCTGTTACCACAGCAACATAAATAGAAATCTTAAGCCCTGTTCAGAGCGCCGTTTCCAGCCGCCATATATACACAGCTGTGACGTTTCTTCTCCAATCTGAATGTTGTGGAGGCGTAATGACAGTGCAGTGTCCCTGGGTTCAATCTGACCCCTGACCCTCTCCAGCGTGTTGTCCTCCACTCTCTCTCTCTCACTTCCTGTTTCTCTCCTGCTGTCCGATCTTAAAAAGACAAAAAGGCCAAAAAATATAACTTCAAACAAACAAACAAACAGACGTGGTAAAGAGAAGAATTGTTGATAACCTCGGCTGCTTCAGTGCCACATATTGGTCAAAGGAATCCAGATTTCTTCCCTCAGAAATCTCGTCCACACACGTCCACACTTCAGGCTCCAATAACTCCAAGTGTGAAGAGAATACGACACGTTTCAACATAAGCTCCGCCCACAGCGCAAGAGCAAACGTATCACACGTTTAGAAGAACCGTGTTGGAAATATAAAATATAACGAATCCCGGCGCGGTCCAGAAATATGTTGAAGTAGTGAAAACTTCAAGGGGCGGGGCTTAAATGATATTTTTCTTCTTCTTGTGATAATCCTTGGCTTCACCTTGCAGACCCTCTCACCTACAGTCTGTGGTAACAACAGGTAACACACAGGTCTGGCCCTTTAAATGTGTTAGCATGTAGCATTAGCTCTGGGGCTGACGACGAGCTCCTGCTGGCAGGTTCAGTGACCACGTTCACATCACGCCGCCCTCGGTCCATATCATGTCTGTGTATATAATGTATGATATCTTTTTGTATGAGTTGGACTAATTCATGATGCACAGAAGAATTCATGTGACTTTGTATTTATTGTATTTCCTGGTAACGGAGCGTCATCATCCTGCTGATTCTGATGTTTGATTATATTTATTCATGACGCCGCAGGTGGAGCGTAGATATCACGAGTTCTTTACTGTCGTGACTTATTTAGAGAAACAATGATGTATGTTTTAATCTGCTGCCAGTGTTGTGTCAATAAAAGAGATCCAATGTTACCGTGTGCGTCTGTTTATTAGCAGGAATACGGTAAATGTTCCCGATCACAGAGACGCTGGGGGCGAGGGGGGGGGGCTCTGTCTTTATGCTGCTAACAGGCTAAACAAGCTAGTTAGTGTCAGAGGAAAGGAACCAATCAGGAGCTGGTGACAGAGAAGAAGACGCTGTGCTTTTATGTCATACAGTGAATATGTGAAGTTCTGATTGTAGTTAATTTAAAGTATAAATGTTTGTTATTTGACATTCCTGGTGTTCATCTTATTAACCATGAGTTTATATCTGTAGGAAGCATCTTTTGTTGTCACATGATTTCAGAGAAACGGGGACTTAATCCATGAGTGAAACAGAAAGTAAAAGGAGGGAGGAGTGTTCTCTGGGATAAGGTTTGTCTCTTCTGATTATTTTAGCTTTATATCTGAATCTTTTGTACACAGAAACAGAAATTCAGAGAGAGAGCAGAGTTCACTTTGAAAAGGTAATCTGTTTTTTGCTTTGATAAAGAAAAAATTTCAATACAGGTCAGAAAAACTGTCATCTTCACTTTACAGCAGTTTCTGAAGAGAAGTTGTGGTCTGTTTTTGAGAAATCATGTGACCTCAGCGCCCTCCATCTGCTGTTTCTGTGAAATCATGTGACCTCAGCGCCCTCCCTCTGCTGATATAAACTCTGCTCCTTCTCCTCGACATCAGAGCGCTTCATGACTCTGAGAGCTGAACGACAGGTGAGAACACTTAAAGACTTAACAGCAGATTGAAATAAAGGGGGAAATGTATGAGACAAACTGTTACCGTTAGACTGATATGAAACGACATTAAGAGAAATGTTTTAAATGTTTGCATGAAGGGGGGAGGGGCTGAGCAAGTTTCTTCACTCGCTAATATAAAGATGGCAGCTGACAGGACGGCGAGGTCACTCACTTGTTTTTATTTATTTAAGGGAACCAATCAGCTGCACCCTCCTCCAGCTCCTCGGAAGACGTAACCATGGCAAAGTGAGCAATATATTTCCTTTGTTTCAGTGTTTATTTTTGGAATTAGGGCGGGGCTACCTGTGATTGATTAGTGGTCAAAACTGGCAACTTGTAAATAACAATAGAGACATCGCGTAGAAAGATGATTCATCGTGGTTATATCTGTGGTCGTGGCTCCAAATGTTGGTCCTACGGCGCTCTGTGATTGAGGGTCAAAGATGACCGATCTAAAGGCACTTTTCTGTGCTGTGTCTGAAATGTTCCCGCCTCAGGCTCGATGTGGTTCAAGTTCCTTTTATTCACTTCAGCTGTGGATTTTCTGAACGTCTGTATTTCTGACGTTGTCCTACCGGTCAGTGGTACACAGTGGACCAGTGGTGTTGCCTGCTGCAGATCTGATTTCTTTGGAGATAATAATAAGGTTGAAGTTGAAGCTCTCTTTGCACAATTTAATTTATTTTCCCTCGCCTATTTTGATTCACTACGTAGCTCATTGGCCAGTGTGCTTGCATGTTGTTCCAACATTATTATTTGACTAGTACCCTTTACGGCACATCATCCAAATTTTTCAATAAACTCCAAAACATCTAGAACTCTGCTTCACGCCTTCTGAATCACACCCGATCTGGCTCCCCGTCCCATACTGTATCCAATTTAAAATCCTGCTCCTCACACACCAAGCCCTTAACTGCCATCGCCCTCCTACCTTACTGATCTCCTCCACCATCACACTCCTTCCCGAGCGTTTAATGTGTGGTATGGTGTTGTTTATCTAACTCTGTGTGATGTTGCAATGTTTGTTAGTTTGTTCAGGTGAGTTTACCCGAAGGTAGACTTGTGATCGGCCAGCAACACGGACATCCAACAACACCTTAGAGGGAAGGAGAGCTACTAAACCGACTTAAACCGGATAAAAAACCTAAAAAATTATAAAAATGATAAAAGTGTCAATCAGGGAATACCGATAAAATCGATGAAAAATACAAATAAAGAATCTCTTCATTCAAATAAATAAACAATAAAAGTGTGCAGATATGGCTACAGCTTGTTCAGTTCAGTGGTAGCGGCAGGAACAAAGCTGTGTAAGTACTGCTCTGTTCTGCAGCGTGGGACTGAACACCTCCATCCAGAAGGCAGAAGCTGAATGTCACTGTGCACAGGGTGGGAATCATCAATTAAAATGGAAGCTATCCGCTGCAACTGTCTCGTATACAGGGACGCCAGGAAGAGCTTTTTTTAACGAACCATGACATCAAAGAAAGAGACAAGACTGATTCAATAACTTCACCTCACTACTTCCCGAACAGCACAGTTCAAACCCCTGATATTCACTACCACAAATACAGACACACACACACACACACACACACACACACACACGGACATAAAGACACACAAACAAAGACACAGACACACATCCTTTTTCTTATTTTTTAACTATTATTATCATAATTACTACTGTACACTCTTGTAATAATCGCTTCAAATATTGATATAATCTCTTTTCTTACTATTTTTTTCTCTCTCTTGCTTTATATATTTAGATTTCTTTCTTTTTTGCTTTTATTTATTTATTTATTTTGTACCATCATTATTATTATTCTTTTTTTCTCTCTTTCTGGTATTAGTGGTATGTTGAGGGGGGTGAAGAAGGCAAGATAATGATAATTTAAATAATACACTAGCAAATCATAGTCAAACAATCTGGATGAATGACATTATTATTACTACAATATGATATGCACTATTTATATTACTGTTATTAATACATAACCCAACAACACACTACACTGGAACACAATTGATATGGTCCATTACCCACCCACCCTTTTTTTTAATTTTTATTTTATTTTATTTTATTTCATTTAAAAATATATATATTATCATTCTTTAGTTAGTCTACTTTTCTTCTTTCCCTTTGTTTTGAATATGCTTTCTAGCCCCTCCTGTTGCCTCCATCCTCATATTTACAGTCTATGCTTTAAATGTAAAGGTTTAAAAAGGAAGAAAAAGGATAGACCTAAGGACAACGATAATAATAACAAATACAAATACACAAAAAAATAATTATAATGATAAAAATACTGTGACTTAAAGAAATTAATCAGATGATACCTCCGAGTACCAACACAAACAGATCCCCTCCCATCAGGTCTGGGGGTTGTTCAAGCTTGGCGAGAGGGTAGCATTAGGCAACCCTATCAGCTGGCCTCCTCTGCAGGGTCTGGGGGCAACTGAAACAGGGGCACCGCTGCATCACACAATGACTGAAGTAATAAAAATGATAATATATGTAGAAAGAAAGGGGAAAAAAAAACCTTGCAGTGACAAATGGAACCTAGGGGGGGGGGGGGGGTAGAGGACTCTAAACAAAAAAAAGATACAAGCATACACTTGAATTACACACACACACACACACACACACAAACAAACAAAAAAACAGGGCCCTTCAACACCCTCAACATACAAAGTTTCTAAACATTATTATTGCTCCCTGCTTGCCTGTTTTGTCTCTGTCTATGCTGTGCATTGTATCGTCGTGTCTCCCCCGTCTCCTACATACTATTGCTCTTGTCATGTCTTGTATTGTTCTGCATCACCTAATACTTTATTAGGTAATCTTTTTTTTTAAAAGACTGATTCAATAAAAGCTCAGGAGAACATCGTCATTATGGTTCGGTCAACGTGAAAGTACGACAGTTACCTACAAACGCTGATGAGCCTTTTTCAGTTTAGAATCAATGATGGTCCCGAGGTATTTATCAGATTGCACATATTCAGTGTTCTGAGCTTTGATTACAATGGCATTGGATTACTGTGTTGTCTTTCTATTTTAACGACTTTACAGGGTCTTTGAGTCCATGAAAAGCGCTCAGTCTGTAGCCTCCATAAGGGGAACTTAAAGGTGGTTAGGTCTTCTTCTTATATTCAGTCAATGTTGAGATCCAGTCTTTATTCATCATTCAGACTTATTGTTGTGAAAAATGAATAATTGTAATTTGGTGTGGAACTGCTTAAACTGCTTTCATTAAAAGATCCCATTTGGATCTCTTTGTCGATGTTTTCTGGTTTTTGATCGAATGTCTTCACCTTTCAACAGAAACACCACAACCAGGTATGACCACATCACCTGCAAACACCTGATCCGTTCAGGGTCTCCTACCATCTACCAGCTGACACCAAAGAAAGAGAAAATAGGAACCATAAAAAGAATGACTCTTGGTGAAAAAAATCCAACTAAAGTACACAAAACTATCCTGCTTGTGGGAGAAACAGGAACGGGAAAATCTACTCTGATCAATGCTCTGGTCAACTACGCCATGGGAGTGACGTGGGAGGACAATGTCTGGTTTGAGATCGTAGAGGACGAGAAGAAGCAATCACAGAGTCAAGAGGAGGATGAAGAAAGTGATGAGAAATGTGAAAGTCAGACATCAGATGTGATCGTGTACGAGATCTTTGGCTTTGAAGATAAAACTCTGCCCTACTCTCTGACCATCATTGATACTCCTGGATACGGAGATACCAGAGGGCCTGAATATGATGACGCCATCTCTACTAGATTAACTGACGTGTTCCGCTCACAGTACGGAGTTCATGAGATGAATGTCGTGGGTCTGGTGCTGAAAGCGAGCGAGAATCGACTAAGTGACCGTCTGAGGTACGTCTTTGATTCAGTGGCGTCTCTGTTTGGAAAAGAAATGGAGAACAACATCGTCTCTCTCATCACACACTCAGATGGAATGACACCTGAAAATGTTCTTGACGCTCTCAATGCTGCAAACATCAAGTGTGCCAAAGATGAAAATAATCAGCCTGTTCACTTCCTGTTTAGTAACCTACAAAATAAAGAGAGAACAAAGAAAACTAGAGTCCTTAAAAATGCACATGAAACAACAATGGAAGGAATGTCAGAGTTTGGACAGTTTGTGCTTGAAAAAGCTCCACAACAGCTGAAGACAACTGTGGCCGTTCTGAACGAACGCATCAGACTGACAGCAAGCATCCAAAACCTGCAAGAGCGAGTTGAGCTGATTGAATTTCAACAGAAAGAAATCCAACAGACTCAGGAAGCCCTGAGGAAACATGAACAAGAGATGAAGAGCAATGAGAACTTCACTGTAGAAGTTGACGAGCCCTACAAAGTTAAAGAACCTATCAGCGGAGGAATGTGGGCATGGGTGTTATATGAAGGAGCTGTGTCCTGTAATGTCTGTGAGGAGAACTGTCACTACCCTGGATGCACAATGGCCTGGTATCCCAGAGACTGTGAGGTGATGAAAAAAAGTCACTGCACTGTATGTACAGGGAAATGCCCTGTGTCAGATCATGTGAAGGAAAAGTGGACGTATGTGACTAAGACAAGGAAAGGGACAAAAACTCTTCAAGATGTGAAAAAGAAGTTTGACCAAAGTAAAGCAGACTGCAAAGAGAAAACAAGCCTTCTGGAAACAGTTCAGAAGAAAATGGACGAACTTAAAAAGGAAAAAGATCAGTGGTTGGAAGAGTCCTTCCAGCATGTTGTCAAACTGGAGCAGATCGCTCTGAATGCTGATTCACTGTCCACTCATATCCATCTGGACTTCCTGATTGAGAAGATGAAGGAGAACAGTGATAGGTTTGAAGAGGAGGTCCAGAAACTGGAGGAGATAAAGAGGCGAGTGAATAAAGGAACCAAAGCAGGGCTGGGGTACAAGATCGGTAGACTGGCTGCATCTGCTGGCAGAGCATTTAAATAAATGTTGGAGTAGGTGAACAAGATCATTTTGAGAAGCTCTGATTTAAACACAATGATCTTGTTGATACAAACTTTAAATCATAGCAAAGATTTAATCATGATATTAATGTTCCACATAAACTTAAATGTAATCACATTGTAAATTTCACATTTGTAATTCCTTCTATTTTCTTATTCACCAACAAAACTTTCATTCTTATATATATTAGAGAGAGAGAGAATCTGACTTAAAATATCTTATAGTGTCATCCAGCCCATTGAACTGTACGGTAGTGAAGTGTGGGGTCCACTCAGACATCAGAGCTACACACGCTGGGACAATCATCCAACAGAATCTTTACACGCTGAATTCTGCACACACATTTTACACGTACACAGAAACACACCAACACATGCATGCATACATCCAGCCCCACAGACATCATCCTCTCCAAAGCCCTCCAGACTCAAGAGCCCAGAAAAGAGTCCCCTATGTCAGTTGGTACTGAGGCTAACTGCCCCCCTGTCAGACCCGTCTCTCTACTGTCAGAGATAGAAAGCAGAGACTGATCCTCACCAGGTACAAGCCCAGTGACCACAAACTGGCAAACAGGAAGACACAAAAAACCATGGCAACCCAAAGAAAACAGAACATGTGGTCACTGTTGGACAGGTGAGGTGGAGACAGAGATGCACTCCTACATTGTAAAACGTTTGATGAAACAAGTTTAACTCTGTCATCACAGATTTCAAAGAGCTCAATGAACTCTCCAAAATACAAATACTCCTAGGAGAAGGAGACAGGGCATATCCTGCTGCCCAATATGTTTTAACTTGCCACAACCTGAGGGACAATGATCAACACACACACACACACACATTTGTATATTTATCCACTTACTATATAATCAATGTTAATGTTGTGTAAATATTCATATTACTGTTTATTGTGTACTGTCCAAATATTTGGACACATTTATTTTATGCTTTGGCAATGTTCATTTGAAATTCATGCCAATAAAGCCCTTTTGAATTGAATTGAATTGAATTGAGAGAGAGGGAGAGAGAGAGAGAACGAACAACACATGTAGAGCAGAACTTGGCCAATATCCCCTCCTCCTCAAAATACAAAAAAGAGCACTCAAATTCTATGAACACCTAAAGACAAGTTAAACCCAGTCCTACCATCACATCGCCTTGAGCTGCCGAGAGCTGAAGCCAGAGAAAAGTCCCCTCAACCAGCTGGTCCAGAGGCTGTCCAGCAACACCTGTATACTACCAAACCAGGCTCAGGACCCTAATACCCCCCAGATTAGACCAGACCAGCCTGAAGACCCCAACATCCCCCTGATTCAACCAAATCTAATTATCAAAAAGAAAATTACATCAAATATTGGAAGGAAACAACTCATAAACAGATTAAAATGCTATTGTGCTCTAAACAGAGAATACTGTTGAAAGATCAGAAAGAGTTTTGCAATTGTTGAATTTGTTTTTACCATATATGTTATTTTTCTTTTATTATCATTTAATCCATTTATCATTTAATTCATATGTCATGTAGTCAGAACTATTTCGTTTTTGGCTTTTACATATCCTGTATAGCGTTTCTGCCAATCTGCATGGTTTACGGTCTCAAGCTAAAACCACATATGAAGTTGGTATCACCGGTGGATGTATCATGCTTCTGCGAATCTGCATTGTTGAGGTTTTACAGAACCTTTGAAAAAAGTTTGCCTATAAAAATGCTGTGGAAAAGCTGATCGGGGCTCTTTTTTACTTTTTCTAAAGGACTCCACGTCACTCTGACTTTTAAATCCTTGTTTTGGGACTTAGTCTCTGAGACCGACATCTTTTAAAACCTCAAGTGTCTACACGCTCAGGTTTAAACTTTTCAATTTGTATTTTACTTTTACTTTTTAAATGTTTATATTTGGACTTTTACTGTTTGGATTTAAATTTTGAATATCTTTTGAAGTTTTTTCAATAAATTTTCTATAACTTTTTGAAACCATTTTCTGACTCATCATTCACACCACAAAGACCGGAGCCTCTCTTAAGGACGCCCTGTGAACCTTGGGAGGTAAGTATGAACAGTCACACCACGGCACACTTCTACTGACTTTTACTACACACCTCATACACACCTAGCATCCGAGTGAGGAGAGTTGCAGTTAATCCCTCTCCGGGGGTGAGAGCCTCCGGGGGCTAATCTAGGGTCCTGAATCAAGGATTATACTTGAATCTAATTATTCTAGAAATGAATGTTAGACAGATAATCATAGGGCTGTGGTTATATAAGTCTTCTCTTCTTGACAGGGTGTTAGCGGAGTAATTTTACATAGCTCCAGGTACTAGGTGTTAAAGAAATTACTAAGACTTGACTACATTCAATAATACTCAGTTGACTCAGATGGTTTACGTTGATGAAAGTTTATACATAAGAAGAATACTCGAGAAGACATGATTCAACATCACACTTCTGTACTCGTGTCTTGCTCAATCACATCTGCAGAACTTTTCGAAAGGCATCGCATATATCCTAAAGACATTACCATTATCAGGGTCATGTCACATTGACCCACCTAGACTAATCTGTGACGTCAATAACACTGGAGCAGACAATAAGTCTACCAAACATCCTTGCAGATATCAGGAAAAACAGTTGACACTCTCTAACCTGTACTTGGTGTTATCATAACAGCTGAACTCTTATCAGGTCTGACTGACATTAGAGAACAGTGAATAAACCTAATTACGTCTGTACATTATAATCTAAATAACTACAGAAATTCCACCACACTAGGAGAGAGTAGACTAGCAGATGGTAGGGAGCGAGCCCTCACATAGTTCTAGTTCTTCAGGGTAAACTAATGAACTGTTAAAACCAGTAGTAATCGGTTATAACAAGTTTTAACCGGTTCACACTGGCTCTGCTCGAAACAGGCTGACAAACATCCTTTTTAAATTCTGTTTGTGATTGCAGGTACTGTTTGATAAAGGTTATTTTTTAATGTCTGGTATCAAATCTTAAAATTACCCTATAGCCTATTGATTGATTACTTTAACATTTGTTGCAAGAAACTTCTTATGAATATTAAAATGCTGTTTATTATGGAAGAGGCAAAAATTTCTTAAATTTCTTCTCACAGTCCGGGGAGTCATGAGGCCAAACTGAGAGTTTATGTTGTGCAGCCACAACATAAACTGGAAAAGTTTAGTATGACATAGGAAAATGTCTCTACTTCTGATCAAAATAAATTGATGCAAAATAGTATGGTCAGTTAATAGTTTAGGATGTATCTGCACACATTTTATTTAATCAACAAGATAAAAATATAACTTTATACTTTATTGTCCCCGAGAGGAAATAAAGTAGGCTAATTCTTGCTCCATTTAAAGATGTAATTTGTCATTACAAAAGTATGTGGAGGAGGGTTTATCACAATTTTATACCCCCTCAAATTTTATTTGAATAAGACGAGTTCAATCAAATTAGTTTCTCAGCATTTTGCACTTCCTGCTGGCTCAGCAGATAAACACCAATGGCCCTTTGTACACAGTCCCAGGCTGTGATTGGCTGTTTTTTCTGCTTAACCTGATTAGTGGTTTCAGAATTTTACCATCCCAGGTGTTCAGAGACACACACATTTTTAAAGGAACCAACCAGTGACTATAACCCTTTTCACACATAAGGAAATGTCTTGAAAAACTCCGGATATTAGGCTACCCGGAGGAGCTGTAGGCTATATGTGAACTCAAACAGACACATTTTTACCCAGAGTTTCTCCGGCTAGACTTCTAGTATTATTTTCACAGAAAGTCTGAGTGAGCTGATGTGAGAACACAGCAGCATATATTCCGGAGAATTCACCAAGAGCCAATAGAAAGAGAATGACGTTTATATATATATAGTCCTCTACGATCTCCGTGCCCGTAATTAACCTGCTGCATTATGTTTTCTGTTCGTCAGTATGTTGTTCTCCGCTCTTTTGTAGATGTTGTCATTCCATTGGATTGGATTACACATAGCATTGATATAAAGGCAAATATTCTCATTATAACTTCGTGTAGCGGACTCTGTTGCTTCGGCGTCCACTTCCGCGTTGTCCCCCCCCCCCTGACAGGGATAGCCCCCCCGATGTGAGGAGCATATGTGAACAGCTAGGTTGGGAGAATCTCCGGAGCCGTCCTCCTGAAATTATCTAGATATTATCCGGAGGGCAGATGTGAAAACAGCTTATGTGGGTGACAAGTTCATGTTTTTATTTAGACTATTATTTGACACTTGAATTTCCTCCACTAAAACCTTTGGTTTCTGTTAGTTGTAATAAATCACAGAAGATACTTTGATTAATACATCAGTGCTTTTAATCACACTACATGTTTGACGACTGTATATGTCTTTGGTAATAGCTTCTCATGTTTTAAGGTTTGTGTCCAATGTTTTTAATCATACTACCGGCTGGTCTTGAGTACGTTTATGTTAACTGCTGGCAGATCTTTAGTTGAACCATGTAAGGATTATAGTGCAAACATGGGTAATAAAGTCTGTCTTTATCTCTGTAGTGGACCGATAACACAATGATTTCATGATGAACACTGTCCTGTCATGTCTTTTTCACAGTGAAAAATCAAGCTGAAGGGGGGTATGATGTCTCTTATAAAAACGCTTTTAGACACACTGGAGATGAATTCAACAAATTCAAGTTTTTCCTGCTGGATCGTGGCACACTGGAACCGTTTAAGCCCCTCCATAAGAATCAACTGGAACATGCAGACAGGTTGGACACAATGAATAAGATAATCAAGACCTATGGACAGCCTATAGAAGTGGTGAAGAAGATTCTAGTGATCATCAACAGAAATGATCTGGTGGAGAAACTTTCGAGCAGCAACAGCACAGAAGGTCAGCTGTAGGAGAACATAAACTAAATCTTCTGCTATATTTATAATAATACAACTGTGTACCAAACGTGTAGTGTTTCAAATCAGTGAAGCCTGTTTCTTTTTTTTACAAATGCATGCTAAAGAGAAATTATCCCATAGTAAAATAATCTTCAGCATGTTTACAAAAGTGTGGTATGTTTTTAGATTATATTATTCTGAACATTTGTGCACCAGTAGAAAGTGGTCCTGGACCACAGATGCACTGAGGACAAGTGAAGCTTAGGGACTAAAGTATTCAGAATATGAAAGATTGTCAGCCTGTTTCACGGGTTGATTCTATACACTGCACAGAGATAGACTACAGGATCGCTCCCAGCTCCATTTTTAAAAATCCCTCAAAGACAAGCTCCAAGGAGGCGTCCTCATCAGACGCCTGTATCACCTCAGTTGGTTTATTTCAATGTTAAGGAACAGCTGCTTTAGTCTGAGCTTATCATTCTATCTCTTAAGACGGAGCCCAGACACCCTGCAGAGGAAACTCAGGTCTGCTGCTTGTATCTGAGATCTCATTTTTTTAGTCCCCACCAAAAGCTCATGAGCACAGGTGAGGGTTGAAACGAAGACAGACCCCCCCCAGACCCAGCTCCCTGTTCCCCAGATCTGGTCCAACCCTTGCATTACAGCTGAAGCTGCACAAACATGCCTGTCAATCTCATGATTAATTATACCCTTATGCTGAACGAGACCCAGAGACACTTGAACTACTTGTCTTGAGGGAGTAGCTCATAGTCTGCAGGTGAAATCCAGTGTTTTCAGCCAGAGAACCATGACCTTACACTCTGAAGTTCTGATTCTAATGCAAACTTCTTACATGGCCAAAAACCAATCAAGTGCCTACTGGGAGTCACAGTGTGTTGAAACCAACATTAACCACACCACCTAATGAAAGCAGAGATGCAATTAGGAGGCCCCCAAAATAGACACTCTCTTTTCACTGGGTGAACCCTGAAATCCTCTCTACTAAAATCTCAAACAAATCCAGTGACAAGGGACCAATCAGGTTGAGGCCAACAACCAACGGGGATGTGTTTTACTTTGTGCTGAGAAAACATGCACAACTTTCACTTATAAGGACAGGACATGGTCATAAGCCCTCTCCAGGTCCAAAAAACATACAGTATGTAGAATACATAAGCACACTCTTATGTGGGTAAAGAGCTTTGTTAATAATGGTCAGGAGATCCTCAGAGATACTTAAATATTTTTCACAAGAGTGTCCACACGCTTAAGAGCAAATTAACACCATTTTTTAAATGTTCTTATTATGAAGGCTTACCCCAAGGGACTGTATGTGGTTTATGTTATTGGTTGTTGCTTTATTTTCTCAAACAGATCTGGAGTTGTTTGACCAGAACAAACAACCTCCGGTGGTAGTTTCTTCAAGTTCACCGGTGGTAGTTTCTCCAAGTCCTCCAGTGGTAGTTTC